AACCTCCATGTTATTGTCCTCCCCGTTATTCTCCACTTCACCTCCTTCCACTTCGCTCTGAGAACTTGCCGTTGGATCTTCTTCCATTTTTTCTATCTCATCCTCAGTGAGAGGGGCCAGCAGCTTTATCTTCGACTCATCGGTGTGGGAATTCTTCTCTCTTGCTCTCTGTAGGATGGCGAGAGCAGAGAGCGATGCTCTTCTGGGAGCTGCGACCTGGAAGAAAACAGGCATATGTCAAATTAAAACGCCATACTACCCTGAGGTTGTGGACACAAGTGGGGGAATATGCTCTATTTTACTACCATGGAGACAGGGACGGGTGTGCCCGATGAATCACGGTTGAGGTGGGTCCTACGGTGGTAGAGGTATTTGGTCATGTTGGTGAAGGTTTTGTTGCAGAACTGACACTTGTGAAGGGGGTCTGCAGTGTGGGTCTTCCTGCAAGACACCAGGAGAAAAAGATGAAACAGATGGAAAAGAAATCAGCTGTCAGTGTCACTCACAGCTATCTCGGCTGCGGTGGTGCGTCCGAGCCTTTTACCTGTGCATGATTAGAGTCATCTCAGTGGTGAAGCCATTGCCACAGTCCACACACAGGTACCTGGCCACGCCTGAGTGTGTGCGCATGTGTGTCTGCAGTGACGTCGCCTTCTTGAACACCTTGCCGCACTCTGGACATTCATGCGTGCCCTGCTCGTGGACGCGTTTGTGAGCAGTCAGTCGGTTGACCGAGGTGAAGGTGCGGTTGCAGAGCTCACACTGTTGGGGCTTGGCCCAGACGGCTGCTTTCTTCTCTGCCACTCTAATCCTAATGTCCTCCACTTTCTCTGTAATCTCTTCCCTCCCTCGCACCTCCTCGAAGCCACTCATGACGCCTGGCTCTCCGCTCTCTTTGTCCTGACCAAGGAAGTGCTCTCCCTGGTGCTGGAGGAAGTCCTCTGGGGTCTGGAAAAGAAGGGAGCATTCTGAGCACTCATAAGGGTGGATCACCACCACCTCTGTTGGTTGTTGTTGCTGCTGCTGCTGCTGGGTGTCATCCTGGACACTAGAGGCCAACCTTAACTCCAGTCTCTGCACACCGTTCTCCAGCTTTGCTGAAGATCCTCGGGCCACAGCAGGCAACAGAGGGGGCAGCTTGGAGCGCCGCTGACTGGGAGTGTTGGAGTTGTCTGCCAGTGCTTGAGCTGTGAGAATCTGCAGGTGCATGGTGGCAGAGCCGGGAGTCGCTGTCACAGGGGGCAGCAGGGCGGATCGGGAGGGTGCAGCAAGTTTGGAGACAGACTGACGTTTCTTCTGTTGTTGTTGTTGCTGCTGCTGCTGGGCGAGCACCTGGAACATACACGCAGAAATGCAGAGAAAAGAACTTTCAAAGGGAGCAAAATCTTTAAAAAAAACAACTAATACTTCGTTAGGTGGTTACAATCCCAAAGTACCTGTGCCAAGATCTCTCCAGCCTGCTGCTCACTCAGCACGTAGTTCTGCACATTGTTCAGTGGAGTGACGGTGCCATCAGGCTGTAGCACATACTCCTGTTGCAAGGGACAAAAACATTAGTATTTTCAGTTAATCCAGTGCTACAGAAATAAAGCAATGTTTGATAATTGCTCTGTCAACAGTTTGGAACTGCCATCACTCTGATTCATCTCTCTTTTAGTTGATTATGTGATGCTTTGGAGACTGGATGTCTGCACAGCTACAGTACAGCTGTAGCACATCGGTCCGTGCTGGTCTACACAACCAAAATCATAAAGTCACTAAAGCAATCTGAATGCAGTCTAGAATATATGCCGCCTGACCCAAATTAAATGAATGCAAAGTCAGAAACTATCATGAGTTATCCTCTTCAGAAAACGATTTACAAAGTGTTTTTGCCATCAAGATATTTTAGGGAGAGTTTGCTTTTGTATTTGTAGAGAAATATTACCAGAAACTAGTACTGCTTTTGACTGCTGTCCAATATTATGAAGGAGTTGAGCACAGTGAAAAAATTACTGCTGTCACCAGTGTTACTGCTCAAATCTACAGTTGTTCCATCATCAACTTTACTCCTCTATAATGAGATTTGACCCAGTATTACAGTATTATCAAGTGTCTGTCGGTTTGCGTGTCAAATATGTTTTCTCACATCTCATGAAGCACACTGACTTCGCTTTGATGGTCTAAGGCAAGACTCCCGATAAAAAATGAAATGCATTTAAAAGCACAGCGTTAGCAAACACAGATCCAGTATTGGGATGTGAATGAGTCTGCAGAATATAGCCTCAATCATTCACTAATGCATGCTTTATATATTATTATTACTGCTCTATAACATGGTATTGGAACAACTACATTCAATTCAGGAAGCAACACATTTGAACAGACAAAGTAAGTGTTACTGTGGTAACAAGTCTGCACCAGTCAGTTTATTAAACTATCAATAACTGAGACGACTTTAGTACTCAGACATCAAAAGGTAAATTAATTCTGCTTTTCAGATTAAAACCAAAAACTGTTTCACAGTTATTATTAAGCTGAATAAGACCCTTACCATGGTCTCTGTGGTACTGTGTGTGCTGCTCCTGCTGTGGGTCCGCCGGTGCTCCAGCCAGGTCTCAGGTGAGTCAAACAGAGCCAGACAGTCCAGACACTGGTACTGGACAGGCCCCGACACCCCAGCCTCCGACCCTGCTTCCTCTGTCTCCAGAACCTCACACAGCTCTGGGGAACAGTCACACACATACACAGTTAGTGTTGTTTCTTACTCTCTCTTCCTATGACTAATACTAATAACGAATAAAGACTCCAAACTGTATCATACTGGATAAATGTATTTCCTAATAAAACATCCACAGAACAGCATCATGTGTAGATTATACATTATTAATCTCTCAACCCACACCAGGTTTTCACAGTTTCTTAAAACACACACAATCAAATCGCTCACCTTGGTGCTCCACCTCCATCCCTGCTTCTCTCATGTGCATCTCCTGGTGCTGCAGCAGTTCCTCCGGGTTCACGAGGAGGGTCCCACACTCCAGACACTGGTACTGCTGGGTTTGCCCTATCTCCGGGAGACCCTGGATAGTCATGACCTCCCCTTCTCCTTCTCCCTCTTGGCCGGTGTGGATCTGCTGGTGGATCAGCACATCCTCGAGGGTGTTAAAGAGCTGATGGCACTCACTGCACATATACTGGTGCTCCATGTACACGCCTTCGGCCTCCTCCTGCTGCTCGGCCATGCTGGCGTGTGACAGGCGAGCGTTAAACTGAAACTTCGCTGCTGTATCCGACGTATGAAGATCTTTGTGTCATCCAGAAGGCCAGTATAAAAGCACACCTGTGGTGAACAAAATAAGTAAAATAAGAACATGTAACACTGAAGGTGTAGTGCAGGGTATATGCAGGTGTTCTGCAAGTTGAATTTGGTTGGCGAGGGCCTGACATAGTTGTCCAATTTTCATGAGTGGATGGAGTCAGGAGTAAGGAATGCTCCACTCACAATGCATAATGATGTTGTTGTCTCTGTTGTCTGTGGGCCAGCATTGATTGCACAATCTGCACCTCTTCATTTAATCTCATAATGATCTTTACTCCCTGAAGTCGAGCAGCAGAAGTTCAGTGACAATGTGCAAACACTACTGGCCCATTTTTATGAGTGAACACAGAGCGTTTACCCTTAAATAAAGACACCACTCCTCCAGGCTGCACTACACCCCTGACTACATCAATACATAAATCAGCTGTTGTGTATTAGCCATTAAATGCTTCATATAAAGTCTCACACAACGCAGGCAGCAACGTTACATGTGTCATTAGTTCGTACAATATAAAAACACCCCCACAGGCACATTATGGGACAATCCCGCGAACAAACATCGCAATATTCAGCTGTTAGCTCGGGGAAGGCCCCGTGGTGCTAACGGTGCGACCACGACTCAGAAGTGTCTGATTTTTACACACAAATGTGATTCATATCTTTGTTTACAGTGTGTGATGGCATATGGAGAGCTGTTGGCGGCGCTCCCTCCGACACTGCAGACCTGTTTCTCGGCACCGCGGTTTCCTGACAGCCGCTGCCCGGTTCGTCGGGCGGTCCGTCAGGCGGCGCTACCCACTTTTCCCCGCAGCTCTCCGGCTACAACGGCGGGCCCTTCTTTCTCCTCACCTCTCATTTACTCTCGTTGGACAGTCCCTCGTGTAGGCATCGCTCTCGGTTCACACACGCGTTTGTCCTCTTGTTTGTCCCCGGTCACCATCCGTGGCGTGGACGTAATATAAAACTGTGAACGTGTCCGTGGGAAAAGACATTTCAAAGAGTGTAATGAAACGTTTGCCCGCCGATCGACTCCATTCCTGTGATACGAAGCCCCGCCCAATGCGGTAGCGTGAGCATTTCAGAGTGTGTGATTGGACGGGCTGACTGTCAGTCATAAAGTGTGCTTTACTGTCGGGAATTGTAGTTTTTGAGTTCAAATACATAAAGCAATTAAAACCACAGCAGCCAGTACTTTATTCAGTTATTATTAAATTAATTAAATACATTTGCCACCCCTCAGCATTATATATTTTTTTTATTGGGTTTTATTTTATTTTATTAATTATTTTTTATCTCTTTTATGTGTTTCTTGTTTCTTTGTGAGTACATATTTTAAGTTTTGTACACATGTAAACTAACTTTATTATAAGAAATAAAGAGTCATTTTTTTAAATCATTATTTATTTTATTTAAAATAATTTATTATTAAAATAAAATTTAAAATTTAAAAAATAAGTGTTTTTTCCTGACCCCCTTTTTTATTTTTATTTTTAATTTTTTTTTTTACAATTCATCATTAATTCTGTAAGTGTGTCCATAACGCATCTTCAAGAGGCACTGAGAGCCTTACTATTATATTATATTTCTCCGTAAACACGTCAGTGAGGACTCCAAGCTCCAAACGACTCACTTTCCCATTAACCCTTGCGAGCTTTTACGTCGTCGTGCGTCAACTCCCCAGTCCCCCCCCCCCCACCATCACCGCTCTACAGAGGAAGAAAGGGGGAGACGGGCAGCCTGTACACAACGCTGTAAGTGTAGTCTATATTTATACCGAATATTAAAACACACACACATATAGCTGAAGTCTGTGCCGCTCTGGCTGCTAATAACGTTCAACCTTGCCCCGGGGTTTAGTTCACACAAATATGAGCGGCAGCGGGCGGGCCAGGACCAGCTCATTCGCGGAGCCTCCCGGAGCTCCTGGATCCGCTGCAGCCGGTGCCGGATCAGCAGTAGCCGGCGGAAGCTCGACAGGAAAAACTGGGGCTTCACAAGCCAGCGGGAGCAGCTCGACGAGCTTTGGGAATTTGAAACTCCCTAGTAAGTATTGTTTTTATATTTCTCTCATAAGCCGAAGTTGAACTTTGCCACACACGCTCGGGTTGTGCGTTATTATTATTATATATATATTTTTTTAATGTGCCGGAGTGTGTTTAACGTTAATGTCGGATCATTGCCGCGGAGCTAACCTTAGCCCAGCAAGCTTGTTAGCTGCCCGGCTAACGTGAGCTAGCTGTGTTTTTCATTAAGGAACCCGATCAAGGGCTTTTATCGCACAGCTAACATCACCGTTAGCTTCTGGTGGCCAGCTTGGAGCTAAGCCGTTGATATTTCGACGGTAAAATAACGTTGTGTCATATTTCTAACCCTTTCTTGTTGCATTGTAACCCAAGAGTAGAGTTGGTGTCAGCCGACGCTCTTAATATATTCGTCATTAATATCAGATGTAGAGGCTAGCTAGCTTGCTGGCTAACGTTTGTGAGGAGTAGGTTGAAATGATCTGCTCTAAGTTTTTAGGCGTCGTCCTCGGTTTTGTAGGATCTTGCAGAGTTTTTGCCAAACCAGAGTTACGTTAGGGTCCGTCGTGTGGAAGCCTGAAGAAATGGTAATTATCAGTATGTATGTTTTTTTTTTTTTTAAAGAAAAATAAAAAATACTGTAGTTCCAGCAGCTTATAAAGCAGTATGGTGACTTATCCATACATGAAACCGTCTATGTATGGGTTTAAACAGCTGGTACGGTACAACCAAATCCACCACAGGCCCTCTTTCATCAAGAAAGTGAGAATTTGTGCTTAGTGTAGTGGAAAAATGTATTTTGCACATTGCCTGTGCAACTGTGTCAGTACTCCTCGAGTGGAAGACAAGTTCTGACTTTAATTACATTTCTGCACACCATAGCCACTATCCCCTTAAGTAGGCTCTCTACTTTTACACTGATGGCACATTTTGACGCCGTACTGGAACCCCTGGTTTGCCAACAGCAAAGTCTGTCCAGTTGGTTTTGTTGGTGTGATGACAAGAACTTGCAGAATGCTCAGGGGTCATGTAGCTATGCAGCGGTAGAAGTTGGCCGAGGATCTGTAGCGTTCAGACAGAGGTGTGCAGAAGGACGGACTGCGAGAGACGGAAGAAAATAGCATCACAGCTTATGTTTCAAATAGAAATAGATGTAGAAACTGGAGTTAATTGGGAGCCGACAGAAGAAAATCACACTGAGTTTGATTAATAGAACAATTAAATGAAATTGATTGAAAGTCAAAGATCAAAGTTGACTCAGGCTGCTCTATATTAAGCCTAAGCTGAAGTTGGTACATACAGCTAATCAGCAGGTCTTCATCAGGTGATTTTACTCATTCACATCCATGGCTGTTGACTGCAAGCTCAGTGCTTCTACTCAGTTTTCAGAAGGTCTCAGTCTTGATCATCATGATCTGTGAACTCATTGTTCTTGGGTCAGAGGTGTTTGGACCCCGCTGAAACCCCAAAAGGCCTGTTTGATATTAAGATTGATACTAAGCTGGCTAAATTTAAAAATCATGTCCCATCTCTGCCTTTTGGCCAAACTAACCTGACTGTTTTCACACCACAAAGCTCTCTGGAGGGGATAAATCCCCAAACCCCAAGCTGAATTTTTAATGTGCATGGGGAACACTGAGCTTGAGGCAGGATGATGTCTGCCTGCTCAGAAGCGGTCAGATGCTGTGTAACAGTAATGTTAACAGGCCGCTTTCTGCTAGCTATACTCTCTTTGTGATTTTGGCAATACTGCCAATCACACAATACTGATGTTGCCATTAACTTTTATTTACTCCTGTCAAACAACTTGGCAGCATGCAGTAGTGATTTGATCAATGGCTTTAGTGCAGCAGTGAAGGAGCATTAACAACCCAGGTTTGAATCACTACGTTATACTCACCCAGTTGCCAGCAGAAACATGTCAATAGGAGCAACTAAACGGTGTCTTCAGCAATATAGAAAATCACTGTAAGTCATCAAAGAGAGCAGGAGGTGACAGAGACCGACCAAAACAGGAGGAAAAATAAAATGTATAGTCATTTTGGATCAAAGCCTTTAGGGATGATGCCAGTTACTGCTGTGACGTGATTAGAACAGGCAGAACAAACAGTCACAAAATCAAGCTCAGGTCTTGGTATCCTTTTACAATTATTTGATACCATTAGTAGCAATAACAAAACACTTTATTTTGAAGAGTAAAAGCTTTTTTCCTAAAAAGCCCACTTGTTAAGTTACAAAAATGTAGTATTTCTTAAAGGTCAAACACAAGTAATTTAGATGTTTACAGTACAGTAGTAATCAAACAAAAGTTTAAATAGAGTTAAACCATCAATGGTCTGATGGAATAATAAGAAGAGTAGGAATCTGAGAAAGCATTTCCAGCCAGCTTTCATAACTTGAGTTTTTGAAACTTGATACAACTTGGTTTGTACCTGTAAAGGTTCAATACTCGGCTCTATTCCTTCCTGTTTTGTAGTGTGTTCTCAAATAAGAAATCACATTTAAAGTAAATGGTTTTAGCTGGTCTCAGTTATTTTCAAAGTTCCTGCAATGTTTTTGATAAAGGTAAAATATGGGACAAAAAATCATTATAATGAAGTACTGTAGTGCTGCAGAGATGCCCTGGCCTACAAATCCTGTTCTCCAGATTTAAGATTTAAGTTTGTTTAGTCTGACCCCTACAAATGTCACATCATATTTTTTTAATAGTGTTTTTCCCTGAAAACTAAATTTGTCATTCATAAAATGATCTTTCCCACATTAACCGGGAATCATATTGCAATTTCTGTCAAAATAATTGCAACATGATAAAAATGTTTACAATACTGCCTCTAAAAGTTGAACTACTCCTAAATATTAGTACCTTTCTACAACTAGTTGCCCATTTTTAAATGTTTAAACTATTTTACTGGGATCTTTGGGTTATCACATGTTGTAACACCCTTTAAAATCCCTCTTTCTTCCCTCCTGCTTTCCAATCCTGAACAGACACACACACACCGTTGTTATTATTAGCAGCGTAGTAAATGGTCAAGCGAAGGGATGCACCTTAGTGACCTTATTAAGTGGATTGGGTATCAGCGAGACATTACCAAAACACATTAAATACATTTTTAAAAATCTGTGTCATCATGAAATTCAGTGTTTCAGTTGGCCTTTGACCCAGGATTTAGTATAATAGTTGTGCGGTGAGGTTTTCTGATCAGCAAATGTAAGGACCATAGATACTTATTTGTAATGTATATTATGTGACTGATTGATTGGTGTCAGGTCAGGGGAAATCTCTTCTCTGATGGAGTGATTCATTCAGACCACACCCAGTGTAAATCACACAATCATCATACAATCCATACTAGTCACAGTGCTGTTGTAATTCCTATACGCTGCTATTGATGGAATAGTAATTGTAATTTATCATGCCATTGCTGATCATTTTATCATGTTAAAACTATGCTTGAGTTTTACACTTACAAACAAGCCCCAAGCTAATTGCTTCTAAGTGTGGGTGTGATGAAAGCCACTTTGCTCATCCCTTTTCTCTTACTCATCAGGCTTTCGTAGATGTATCAGAAACCAAAGCTGTTCACTGACAGCTGGGCAGAGTGCTCATTTTTGCATTCATTATTTAAGGGACTATCATGCCACAGCTGCTCTATATTTAATGTGTCCCCCTCTGACTTAACTTGTTTAAAAAGAGTGTGAAAGTGATGCTCAGAGGAACAGCATATTGTGGAGTTGGGATACGGCAACGTGCAAGAACCACACAATGACTGAAAAGCTGAATATTTCTTCCTGACCTGAGGGTAGAGATAAGATCTAGGCCAATCATGTGGATATGCTATCGGCTGCTGTTTACTGCTAACCTTGAAAAGGTTTTTTCCTGGAAAATTGCAAAAATAGAAAATTATGAAGGGGTGTATCTCCAGGTGTCAGGTCTGACCAGCTCCCGGATCTCTGCTATTTGCATTCGTACAAACACACTTTGTGCTGCTGGGATTCTGACTTGAATTCAGGGGAGGACAGCGGTAGAATCTGTCCACAGGATCTTTTATTAGCAAGGTCAGTTCACTTTGTGGGACCTTGGCTGACACACAGCTCTAGGCTGGGGTATCAAGAGCTGTTTTTTAGGTGCTATGTGAGGCTGTGCCATCCCAAATGACACGTGAACTCAAGGCAACAGAGCCATAGGCAGTCTTTGAGGCGTCAGAGAAAATATGCAGGTCGACAGAGGTGCTAGCAGGAACATCGGAAGTGTAACACCGTGGTAGGATGATCTTCTGTAATTGTGGCCACTAACCTTCCCATGCTTACCACATTAGGAAGAAGAGCTCATCAGCAGTTTGCTAATCCACCATGGCTCGTGTCGTATAGGGTATAATGTACCTGAGTGGGTCATATTGGCTCGCCAGTACTCGATGTATGTACCTCAAGGTGCGTTCAGTTGATGCTTGTTCAGTGTATCGGGGCTGCAGCGCCACTGGAGAGTCTGCTGAGGCTCTTGGGGGTCTTCCTTGTTCCCAAAGAACTGTGTCACTTGACATGCGCACTGCAAAAGGCAGAGTGTAAACTTGTGTGTAATCTATATTTCACATCAGTTGTCATTTGTCATCAAGAATCAGCTGGAGATGGCAACCTAATGTGGAATTTGTTAGATTATTAGATGTTTTTTCTTCAAGCAGATGTATTCATACAGGCAGAAATAGAAGGCGATAAAGCCAAATCAGTGTCTTGTTTTTTTTTTGTCTGGTTTTTGGAAGAAACCAAAATTTTGACTCCATTTTGAGACTAGAGATTAAGAGGGGTCCTGTTGAGACAGGCGAAGTGAGCAAGCCCAGGAAATGGTAGCACTTCTGGGTGTGCTACTGTCCACGCAATTTTATCACAGGCTCTGACAAGCCTTTTGGCAATGGGCCTCTTCTCTGATGTTCTTCCCCTCCCAGTGTCGTTGCTTCTGGTACCGATTTGTCAGATCATTCTTGACCCAACACGTGCACAGGCGTAAAACTGAGCAGATACTTGACCCTAAGTAGAGCTGTCACTTACTGTTAGATCTTGATCATCTCATTTTGCCTGTATTCCACAAGGTCAAACATTAGCCTGATGGTGACACTGTTGGATTAGTTTAAAACACACACCTTGTACTCCTCCCTTTCTGTAAAATATAAGAGCTAGAGCCCTCACTTGTCCTCTTAGCTATATGTAATGTGATCAGCGTTCAGTGGCAGTTGTACTATAACCCTGTTTCCAAGGCCATTTAGTCTACACAGCATCTTAATTGTGACTGGTGTTACATTTAATTCAATCCAACTTTATTGTGAATTTAACCAGCGTGAAGCCCAGGAGGCATGGAAAACACTGAATGATGGTTCATTTGTAGGTTTTTATCACAGCATCACGACAGGTGATCCAAAAGTTAACTCTGCCCTGATTTGACCCATCCCTATTCACACAATGTTATATACTATATAACTATGTAACACAGTATGACGTGGTCAAAAGCTTGTTTTCGATCTAAAATTCATTAGACGTCTATTTTACCAGTACTGTGTTGTAGCTAAACATCTGTATCATGCGCATTAAAACCTTCCTTATGCCATAATCTCAGCTGGCAAATGATAACAACAAATATATGTACCTCCACTTTAGCTATTGAAGTAAGCATAATAGCAAATATGAACATAACCATAACCTAGCCCACCTATAACACAGTGTTCAAAATGTATGCATAAATGTTGTATGAACTTAACTAATAGAACATCTATAGTGTGATAATAACAGAAACTAAATCTGTGCTTAACTGGCTCTTACACAAGGATTACACCAACTCATCCCTGGGGTATATTTATATTATTATAATGGGGACATTGAGGTAATTGAGATTACAGAGGTGCTGAGCTGCAACTGTGATTGAGACTGTAATGCCCTATTTCGATTGGCACAGAGACGCAGGTTAAACCTGCAGTCTGAATGGGTCAACACATACCACCCGACCTGGCTTTGTGACTCTAGTCGCCAACTGGGCAGTTTTAACAACATTAATCTGACTTTCCAAAAATTTGCCATAGGCAGAGGAATTTGGCAAGTGAAGCAAAGAAGCAGCCTACTTCTATTAATTTTTAATTTGTTAATTTCCTAAGTAATATGTTATTTGATCAGTAACATGTTTGGAGTACTGATGTAGACTCAGGGCTCTGTTAATAATGACAACAAGGGATTAATCTTTGACAGCAGATATGTATTGGTCTAACTCAGGTTGAACACATGCTCAGTAGACTTGCATCATATGCGTGTCTCCAGTTTCAGAAGGGGTTTAGACCAGTTTTACCCAGGGGAGCAGCAGGAACGTACTATGGGAAGTATCAGGAGCTCATTACAAGCCAGTGGAGTGTGTGTCTGGGGAGCCACCACGTAGGTCACAACTGTTTAGAGCAGGACGGAGCGCTTGTTGATGTTTAACTTCTCTCTCTTAGGGATACTGGTGTAAATTCTGAACTGGAGAGGGTTGTGAATATCATTTAATTCATGAGAAATATGTTGCTTTTTATGCCATTTATGGTTTCATTCAGTGTTTTTCTAAGTTCAAATAGTTTGAACTTTAGATATGTAAATTGTGTGAAGCCACGTGGTTTCTTTTGAAAGGGATTATTCGGATAATTTCAGGGTCTCTCTGACAAATTGTGTTTGTGCTCTCATCCACAGGAGACAGTGGCAAAGTGACCACAGTGGTAGCCACACCCGGCCAGGGCCCTGATCGCCCACAGGAAGTGTCCTACACAGACATAAAGGTTATAGGAAATGGCTCCTTTGGAGTGGTCTACCAAGCTCGCCTCATTGACAGCCAGGAGATGGTGGCAATTAAGAAAGTTCTCCAAGACAAGAGGTTTAAGGTATGCTAAGACAGGCTCACTATGTATATGGTGTTCTTCAGTAATTGTTGTGAAGAAAGAACTTGTGCCAGTTTTTGGCTCAATTCATAATTCTTGTATTTATTTTCTGTTGTCCTCTCTTCGTTACAGAATAGGGAGCTGCAAATTATGAGGAAATTGGACCACTGCAACATTGTGAGGCTACGTTACTTCTTCTACTCCAGCGGAGAGAAGGTGTGTATGAACTGACTTGATGTTTTATGTAGTAGGAATCAAGTTTCTAGATGAAGCACTCTGGCTCCACACCCAACCATTTAATGTGGCATGCGTCAATGATGATTCATAGACATGTTTTAGACAAGTTGATCTTTGCCTTTATTGTACATTAAATCCACTCTCTTTATTATAGTTTTATGGGTCCACACACTTTTGCTGAATTGCTCAGAACATTATTGGGATTTTGCCCCAAATGTGATTGCATCAGAGAAAGCCTGAGCTATTTTAGCCAAACTTGGCAGATAAGTTTAGCAACATGACATAGTGGTGCAATGACAAGCAAGTTAACATTTCATTCATTCTGAACTGTGTTTATAGAAACAAAGTATTTGTATCCCTGAATTCCTCAGATCAAGATTATTATATGTAAACCATGTGGCGTGTACTACATCTTATGCCAAATATAACACAGTATGTATATCACAGTATTCCCAAAGGAATAGAATGGGCATATAATCATTGTATTTTATCTATCTTTATTGTATTTTAACCCGGTCGACGTTTGTGTATTGTATTTTATAATAAAATAATAATATTAGATGAAAGACTGTAGAGTTTGAGTATTATTATTGGTAGATTAGAGTAGTATTACGTTGATGTCAATGAGCGTGAATATCCTCTTCTGTATTTGAGACAGTGTTTACACTCCATTGTACTTCAGCAATATTTACTGTGACAGGTTAATCAATTGTGTTTACGCTCATAATGATAGATGTGTTTTATTACCTGTAAAGTGTAAATGTTGTGTCAATGAGCTGCAACAATAATTGTTTATTCAGTCACTGTTTGCAGCATATATTCATTATGGATAATAAGCACAAAACACAAGAGAAATGTTTAATTTCTCTTTTATTGCTCTTCTAAAAGCCATCTTCAATCATATAGCCAATCAGTTCATATAGCTACAATAAGTATTATTTTGCTCTACTTACTCATCATGTACAATCCAACATATTAATTTAGATTGATTTGTTTGTATATACTCGGAACATTTTGATTTAAGGTTCACTTTCCACCTCTAATTGTACAGTCCTCTTTCCTTTTGTTTCTCCTTTCCAGAAAGATGAGGTGTATTTGAATCTGGTGCTGGACTACGTCCCTGAGACAGTGTACAGGGTGGCTCGGCACTTCAACAAGGCCAAGACCACCATCCCCATCATCTATGTTAAGGTGGGTAGATCAAAACATACATACACACACACACGGGCATTTCATCCTAACTGCTTTCACCTAGCCACTATAGGCATCAAAAGGTTAATTCAAGTTATTCAGGGTTGACATTATTCATTTCTGTATGTATTGTGAGTGCCGTTATAATCTTAGAAGGAAATATACTGTCTGGTCTTGCAGAGGTTTCACCCCTGTCGGTTCATCTTTAAAATACCTGAGAATGAATATTAAAGTGTCTATTTTCTGAGTTAATTTAGGCACTAATGCGGATTAAAGGTGCAGTGTGTATAATTTAACAGGATCTATTAGCAGAAATTGAATATAATATTCATGTTATGCTTTTATCAGTGTATAATTACCTGAAAATAAGGATTGTTGCATTCCTATTACCTTTGAATGAGCCATTTCTATCTACAGAGTAGGCAGGTCCTCTACTACAGACTGCCCCATGTTCACTGCCGTGTTTCTACAGTAGCCCTGAACAGACAAACCTCCTTTACACTAGGTTGAGTCAAGGGGTTTCAGTTGTTTGCAATCTACAATCTCCCCACTGGATGCCACTAAATCCTACACACTGGTCCTTCATCTTCCTTCATCATCATTCCTGCATCTGGAAACCATTTTAGCTGCGACTTCTAATGATATGCTTCATGCTATGCTTTGTAGGAAACACACAAAAGACAAACAACTACAGTATTATGTTAGAAAGGAAGCTGCTTTACAAGCTGGGGAATTGTTAATCTGTTGGCAGAGACCCATTCTCTTAGTGATTTTAAGGTTTCAAGTATACTACTGTAAATATTTAAATCTTTTAGTCACATTCTAGGTCATTTTGTCAAATAATAAAAGGGGTTAAGATTTACATATTTCATCTCAGTCTTTTGAAGTGAGTTTCATCTGTTATTGAGCCACATTTAAAAAAATTTGGTTAAAATTTAAAGTAGATTTATATTCAGTAATTGCCTGTGGATGTAATAAAACAACCAAGTATTTCCCTGTTTGTGTTTCACAGACAACTCACTGTTTAAGGATTATGAAAGCAGAAAGGGAAAGATGGTCCCATGGGAATTAATCTGTTTGCAATACACTTGGTTCCCTGTCTAAAAGGGTGCTCATTTTAGAGAGAGTGTTTGTGTGTTTACTGTGTCTGTAGCAGCTGAGAGGACATTATAGCTGTCTCATGGCCCATTTCCCTACCTCAGCCTGCTGCTCCCCTGTGGCTTTGAGATGCATACTGATCTCTCTCTCTCTCTGTCTCTCTCTCTCTCACTCTTTCCCCTTTCCTCTGTCATCCCTCCGTCCTCCAGTGACACACTTCTATCACAGAATGTCTGGGGTCTTCGTTTCCCTCCTCCCCATCCCCTGCGTCTCATGTTTTTGCCCTGTCTCTCATCATTTGCCTCTTCCTCATCCCTCTCATCCTCTTCTCCCTCTCTGCCCTCTTTTTAACCATCATCTCTCATCCCTCAGTCATCTTGTCTGTAATCATTTTGTAATCTGTGGCCGGCCTGCTGTCACTGCATCATGGGGGTAATAATGATGATAATGGTGATGACAGTGATTTGTCATATTAAGATGCTTACCGTCTGCATTTCACAGGTACATTAAATGGGTGCACACTTAACTGTGTGAGTAATTTTTATTTGAGAATGACATCATTGACCTGGGATGTATAGACAAATGTCAAATTAGGGGTTGGATGAGGATGGTAACACATCATTTGAGAGGATCTTCCCCCCTGAGTTATTTTGTTGCAGCCTGCACTAGATACCACACAGCTGCTTCTTTCAACACTCACCTACACAGTGCACCCAAAAACAAAATGACACATGTAGAAATGCAGAGTGGCACATGACGGAAATTTATACAGACACGCACATGTGGTCCTGTGTGTGGAAAGGAAATGCTATTGCCTTGTGATAATCCAGAGTAAAACAGCCGGATGGCGTGAAAGATTTTTTATTTGCAGGACAGTTGTCGAGTTAAACCTTTGTTCATTAGTTCCCAAACTTTTTATAGTCCTAAAGTTTTTACTTATAACTCCTCATCACCGTCTACATATGTCATTTCATGTTCACAAAAATGAGCAAAGATTAAAGAAAAGTCTGTGTGGCGGTAATATTGATCATAAAATGTTTTTCTTTCAGCTTGCAGGCTGTCGAGAGACGTAACACATCTATAACACTAAAAATTAGATTGTTGCGACAGCAGTTTGTGCTCGCAGGAGGCAATCCCTTTCTGTGGCGTGTCAGTCAGCACCATCAGTCGTGTAGCAAACGATGTCAATACTGCACTAGATAGGACTTCTCATAATGAATCTAAAAGATTTAATTATTTTTCCGCAGTCCATCCATTTTTCTGCCACTTATTTCCGTCCAGATTCCATTAATTACATTAATTATTTCATTAGGAATTATTATATACTGCTGGGAAGAACTACATTTCTTTTTATACTTCTAGGCCATATTTTCTTAAATAGTTTTCCACCATATTTCCATAATTACTCCATTATGAGCATAAACTGCATTAACTTAAACTGCATGTGAAATTAACTTTTGTGTCCTCAAATGCTCTTTTGCTTTTCTTCTTGGGATAACTGTATGGTTCTAAGTTGTTAAACACTGTTGGGCATTTTGCCAACCCTTTCTGTCCCCCCTCAGGTGTACATGTACCAGCTGTTCCGCAGTCTGGCTTATATCCATTCCCAGGGCGTGTGTCACAGAGACATCAAGCCCCAGAACCTCCTGGTGGACCCAGAGACGGCCATCCTCAAACTCTGTGACTTTGGCAGGTCAGTACCAGACACCGCCTCTGGACGTCTCTGTCTGTCTCTATCTGTCTCTATCATTCTTTCTATTGTTGTGACTGTCTGTGTCTCAGCATGCATGTTTAGTTTTGCTGTCGGTTTGTGTTGCCACCTCTTTCTCAGGCTTGACTTTCCCTGTGTTGATCTGTCATATGTCTTCTTACCTCTCTGTCTTGGTAGCATACATGCTGTGGTTTTGTGAAAACAAACACACTGAGAAATGACAGTCTCATGTTGACTGGCACCCCCACACCCCCCTGAACCCTCTTTTTCTGCTTCATCTTGCTCCTATCCTCTTCTAGTGCGAAGCAGTTAGTTCGAGGTGAGCCGAATGTGTCCTATATCTGCTCACGGTACTATCGTGCCCCAGAGCTCATCTTTGGTGCCACCGACTACACGTCCAACATTGACATCTGGTCAGCCGGCTGTGTGCTGGCTGAGCTGCTGCTGGGACAGCCCATCTTCCCTGGGGACAGTGGTGTGGACCAGCTAGTAGAGATCATCAAGGTACACTAGGGGGACTACAAACAGTGGCAGAAAACCAACTGATGACAAGTAGAGGTGGGCGATATATATCGTTTGCGATAATATCGTCATTGTTGTTTTGACGATGTGCAAATTTCCATTATCGAGTATTTAAATTACTTCGACAAAAACAATGAAACGCCCGCGGAAACTCCTCACATCCATTAATACACGGTGCAGCAGCGCTCTCTACAGCATGGCAGGATTCAGTCACACAACTAGTGGGCCTACGTGATCACATGACGTGATCACGTGACCTCTCGCTAGCATCCTCCTTGCAACAGTTTAGCAGCGCGTTGTGATGGTAGAGAGAAAATGCAAACACCTCCAGTCCCTGAAGCTACCGGTACTTCAGATGATTCAGTGCCGAGACGTGGGTCCTATGGGCTTCAGCGTTCAGAGCGCTAAGCGCCTTCAGCGGTAAAAAGATGTCAGCGGAGACGGGTTTTTTTTAGCGCAGCGCTCAGAGCGCTTCAAGTTGAAATCTGTTTAACTTTTAACACCGCTGGGCGCTCGGAAAATGAGTTTTTGAGCTCTCTGAGCGCTGCAAACGCGTTTGGTGGACACAAGTCCAGCTCAGACAATTCTAATCACATTTTAAAGGATATCGACTGATTATCGTTATCGCCAAAATCCCCAAAAATATTGAGATATTATTTTTTGCCCATATCGCCCACCCCTAATGACAAGCCGCTAGATGAAAAGAGACATGGTGTAAAGTTTGGAATTGAAACTACTGTCAGTACAGGCTTTTATGTTTTAGGAAATTATTCTTAAGTTTATGCTACATTTGTGTGTACTTAGATTTAAACATAGTATCTAAATTGATAGGTATTTTTAAATGGAGAACAGTATATTCAGACGGACAATGCAAGCTGTACATTTAATATAACAAAGGATATTTGTGATTAATATTAATGAATATTAACTTTTCAATCTCTTTTGTCAGGTTCTGGGGACACCAACAAGGGAGCAGATCCGGGAGATGAACCCTAACTACACAGAGTTCAAATTCCCACAGATCAAAGCACACCCTTGGACAAAGGTGTGTTCTCACTACTGGAGAATATTAATCGTGTATAGCAGTTATCCAAACATCCGTGTGAGGTTTTAGTGTTTATTATTTTTCTGAAACAGCCCTTTATGGGATTAGCAAATGCCATAGGAAAATACCAAAATAAGATCCAGGATGTTGGAATTTGATGGCTCCGTTGGAATTTGATAGCTCCTGTCTACATATAATTGGACTGGTGTTTTAGTTTTAATAAGCAGTCCACGCTTATTTGTAATCTAAGGAATTGTTCTGAGACAGCGAGCTGCAGCCGCCCGGCAATATCATTATTCAGTACTTTTAATTGGCAGGGTTACTCCACCACTGCAGCTTCTGGCTACGTCCGATTCTACCAGCCTGTAGGCTACAGCACAGGCTACTGCCATCCACCTAGTGTATTCTCATCACGCAGCGGAAGAGAGTGGGTTGTAGCTTTTAAAGTAGATTAAACAGTAGTAGCAATGACACTAATTTGCTAATTAGTATCATAAACATTGTTTATTGTCCCATACTGGATAATCAGACTTTGAATCTGGTCGTGCTTAAAATACGTTTTTCTTCATTGATCGGTCTGTTCTTTGCGGTTGAAGAGGTGTATAAGTCAGGGAACTCCAATACAGTAAAATCAGCTCCTGTATCGTTTCATTGCTGTAGTTTCTGTTGTTGCCATGGTCACACAATGAGCCGCAGCCGCAAGTAAAAGTTGAACCACTGTCCCTCTCCTTGCCGCTGCTGTCGTGTCTACATTAAAAACAATTGTGGCTGTAACTGCTCGCTAATCTTGTATTAACATAAAACCCAAATCCTCTCTGGAGTATGTTAATACAGAACTGCCAAATTTCTCTCGTCTGTCAGGTGTTTAAGCCTCGTACCCCACCAGAGGCCATTGCCCTCTGCTCTCGACTGCTGGAATACACGCCGGTGACCAGGCTGTCTCCCCTGGAGGCGTGTGCACACGCCTTCTTCGATGAGCTGCGCCAGCCCAACACCCGCCTGCCCAGCGGACGAGAACTGCCGCTCCTCTTCAACTTCAGTCCCGTTGGTCAGTTTACAACATCCTTTTTGTCTCTTATCTCCACTATGTGTTCATATTTGTGTTTGATGACCTTCACTCAGATGCTCATGGTCGGTTGTCATATCTTTGCACCTATAGTAATATTATATGTGTAATTAAAATTTGTTTTGCTTTGCTGCTTTCTCAGAGCTGTCTATCCAGCCCCAGTTGAACTCCACACTCATTCCTCCTCACGCTCGTGCACAGACATCGCCTGCCTCACATGGTATGTATCACAGCGTAAAATTATACTCAAGGGTTTTTTTTTATGGATTTATTGGCTGTTTTTATTTAGCTCTTTGTCCTCCAGCAATAGTGAAGTAACACTGAATTTACACCTTCCAATTATTCCGAACTATCCATTGATAAATCGTAGTGTGAGAAACAAGATATGTTCTGCCTACTTGGTGCATTGTGGCCTATATAACCACCACCAAAAACCCAGTCTGAACTCTGACCCATTTTAAAACCCAACCCAACCCAAAGAGTTGCCTTTTAGCCAGACATTGACTGTCACAAGACATTTATATTTATTTTGGACACATTATAATCTCTAGATAGTTCATTGTTGATATTTTAACTGTCTATATTCCAAAAAAAGTTGATTCTTTCTGTAAAATGAGCTTTGGTGTTGGTAACAAGAGTGCTCCCTTTCTCCCCCTACAGAGGGCAGTGTGTCAGACAGTTCCGCCCAGCCCAGCTCAGCGCCTGGATCCATCAACAACAGCACCTGAGCATCCATCCCTCTGTCATCCTTTCTTTTTGTCTTCCCCATTTTCCTTTTCTCTACTCTGCTCTTCTCCCTCTCAACCTTCCTCCTGGCTCCAAATCCTTAAGATAGAAAAGAAATGACTACACACACACACACACACACACACACACACACACACACATACACACACACACACACACACACACACACACATACACTTAGCATTGCTATTTTCCCTGAATTTTAACCATTTCCAATAGGAAGCGATTTCTGTGGCCACTAGCTTCAGGAAGGTGTTTTAAGGACATTTTGGCTGCCATGCTTGGGCTTAGCAAAAGCTGCAGTTCTAAGCCCATGGTGGCCCTCTGGCCTGTTAGAATAAAGAAACTTTACATTGGCTGGGATGTTTGGGAGATGAGGAGGGGTGGGGGTTGTACATGTTATATGGATTTTCTGTATTATAATCCACATTTGACTTTTATCCCTTTTTATGTTCATTTTATTTGCCATTAGCTAATTTTATCTGTGGCCGTGGTGCCATCGAATGGGGTCCTGATTGGCTATGGAGTTGAGAATGAGGGCCACATTTAAGGCCTGACTAATATTGACAATCATCCTTAGTAGGGTAAAAAAAAAACGGCACACTTGTACTGTACTTAGTGTTTGATCGTGCAACCTACTATGTAGACTAGTGGCTTTTCTGTCACTATCTACCCTGAACTCTTCTCAAGTAATGTCAGTTCACCCAGCCCAATAGTGAACAAATGTGAATAATTTTTTTAAATCTCCCAGTTTGATACCAAACAGAACATATTGGCTGATTTGGTCCATGTCATTTTAGATAAGGTATGGTTTTAAATTTTATTACAAAGAGAGGTACCACTGCCTGTCTTTACAGTTTATTTTTGAATGTTAGCTCCACAACTGCCTTTTATGTGAATGAGAGGGAGCTTTCTACGAGCAGAGTGCACATCTTTCAGTTTCTTCAGTATAAGCTGTTTTCTTTTGGTTAAGCTGGAAACCAAGAGTTTCATGTTAATTCTCATGTGAATATTGCACATCTTCAAAGGGAGTAGAGGAGAAGTAAAGGGGCCAGTTGTGTGTACTCGTCCAGCTGCGGACATACCTGTACACTGAGGGAGCCGTGGTGAGGGGCTCCGGTTGCATCTAATACAGAAGCCTCAATGTCTCTCATGTCATAAACACAGTTTTCTAGCACTGTAGGGTGAATAGTCACCTCATTAATTATGTCACTTTACGGTGTTAAGTTTCATATCAGCTTGATAATGTTGAAGAATGAAATCGGGTGCAGAGGGTACCGAGACTGCCCGCTTTCCTCTGCTCACCTTGGCTCGTCATTGTCATTTCCGCTAGTATTCACAGTTATTGTTTGTGCAGGGGGAGGACTCTGAACGAATTGTGTTTGGTTTGTGAGAGAGATCTGGTTGAAACCCTCTTCAGCCCTTCCCAAACAGCCTGCCTGTGACACTCATATCATGTTCTTCTCCTGTGACGGCCGTAGGAACTGATCTTGAATGATTTACGCAGCCTAACTAGTCCCTGCACGGACTAGTTTTCTTTCTTCCGCCACGCGAATTTGCATGTTCAGCCCAAGTTGACCACACTATATTTCTTCCACTAATCTCAGTAATAATCTGACCAGAAAATGATGCTGAAACCCCTGAAACCCAACAGCTTTTGGAGCCTCCCCTTCCATTCCTTTTTGTCCCCATCCCTCTGCCTTCTGCTTCCCTCTGTCCTCCTCCTTTTTTCACTGCTAAACTGTAAATATCAAGTACCTTTTATTTTATTTTGTTATTTTTGTTATTGTTATTATATTGTTGTTCTTGTAATTTTTTTTTCTCTAGTAGACCGGTGCAGCAGCGACCGGGCTGTTTATCCTCAGTCGCAGTCTGTAAATACGATTTCATTTCAGTCCCTTGGTGCAGGAGGGAAAAAACAGAACAAAATGTTTCATTTTTATTCTCTCTCCCTCCATTTCTCTCTTCACAACTGTCCCTTTCCCTCATAAATGTTGTCATAACTGTTTTATTTATTGTATTGTGTTTTGTTTTGGGGGGGGAGGTCTTTTCTTTTCCACTGGGTGGTAAAATTGAGGGATTAGAGTTTTTTTTGTTTTTTTGTTTGTTTTTTTTAATTCCAAATTTTAGTCCAGCAATGTCACATGCAAAATGATTTCACATCCAAGATACTGTACTCAAATCCAGACGTTGGTGTGTGTTCTCCAATCAGTGGTCTCGTATGTATGCAGGTGCACATGCTAGCCAACAGGTGGAACTCCAGTTTTCCATTTAACTTCAATGTGAAGGGAATGTTACAAGCTTCTGGATTTATGGGGTCATGGTGTTGGTAGATAACACGGATCACCCTGTGTGTGTGAGTGTGTGTGTCTGGAGGAAAGGGGGAAATAATGAATCTGTCCATTGACATGTAATATCTCCTGTGTCCGACCGTCTCCTGTTTTCGCTTACTGTGTGTCGTATGAGTGTAACGGGTTTGACCTGTTAGTACAGTGTGTATGCTTCACAGATTCTTGGTGAGTTTCTTGAGCACAGCTGCAGGGAATGAATGTGTGTCTGTATGTGACCATGGACATTATTCTCTGTACTCTCTTTCCAAAATGAAGAGCTGACTAAATGTGCTTATTTTAATGTTTGTTTTGTTTTTATTTTCCATCTTCTGATCCGTCACGCTTTTAATTTGCTGTGACCCCGCTCTTTTAGCACCCTTTCTGAGGGTTAAATGTCAATGTTGGGAACAGAACGGTTGGATAAAGGAGCTGATTAAAAGAGAGGGATGGAGGGAGAGAGACAGTTTTTGTTTGTTGGTATAAATAATTAAACTCATTAATAAAGTGATGAAACTGTTCCTGTCTCATATTCATGATTGAATTATACCTGAACAGTTGAGTTGATTACTCATTTGTTGTGTATACAAAGAAACAGTAGAACATCGGTAATGTGTAGTAATACAAAGCTACTTAAAAGTCCTTCCGAGCAACACAAGGCTAGATTATCAACCAGGCACAGCTGAGAGCTGCTGACCAAATTTAATTAGGCATTGCGTGGGAAGATGCACCAATAAGCACAATATTCCCTGACATGAAATGGGGCTTAAGTGGATCATAATTGTTAACTGACCTTGAGCCTTGAAAAGGGTCCCTGCATCAAAATCTTATTTTAAGAGGTCTGTTGTTTCATTTCGTGCTTTCATGTTTAATATTCCTAGATGACATGTTTAGACAAATCACCACACAACATTTCTAGACCCAAGTAGTAATCCAGTACAAATAAACCAATGTGGAGTTTCAGGGCCAATATGATATGAATAGGATCAATATGATAAACAAATCATTTTGTTGTGGTTGATACTGATAAAATAACCAACAATATCACATAAAGAGGTTAAAAAAAAAAAAAAAAGGGCTAACTATTCTTTTTATTTTTCTTTCTGCTAATCTCAATCTCTGTTTTTCAGTACCAGCGAGTGATTACCAGTGGTGAAACAAGTTTTAAGATCCTTTACCGTCCTTAAGTAGAAGTCCAGACAGAATTATCCACTGAAATGACATCGGAACAACATTCATTATTTGCCAATAATATATCGGCCACCAATCGTGCACCTCTTTATTTCAGTGTAAAGAAACTACAATGCACACACAGTGAGATCAGGGGGATTAATAAGCAACTCCGAACTTCCTTGCAGGTTAATCTGGCGAAGGTACACCACAATACCAGTGTAACAAAGTATATTTATTCATTTATTATGTAAGAAATCTGTATTATGTACTTTACTTGAATATTTCATTACATTTTATGTTGTTTTTACTTACTTTACAGGCAGATATTGTACTTTTTACATAACTACATTTATTTGACAGCTTTCCAGATTGAGAATTTAAAAATCTATAATAATCTTATAAACTACAATTGTTATACAGTAAATTAAACTGCCCAAAAATACATGAAATTAGCTCCACCTCAACCAGATATGACATTAAACACCTGCGTATATGTTAGTAATAGTAATCCTATAATGACATAGCACTGGCATGGGGCCATTCTGCTGCATAATGAGTTCTTTTAAGTTAAGTAACATTCTGACTGCGGGGCCTGTAACACAGTTCACACTGTGCTACTGAAATGTGCTAATGAAGATGCATGTAATAAGCCAGATGATGGTGGGTTGGGGCAAAGAGGCCTTGAGATCTGTTGTGTGATTCTGGCTGATACAACTGAGCCATCCTTCAGAAGATGGGGTGAAAGTAACTGATGCATCTTGCATTTTTCTCTTCCCGCTGGTAGCTCAGGATGCAGTCTGTTTCCAGTCATACATCACCAGGAAGAGCAGTGTGATGAGGGTAAGAACAAATGTTGGGTTTGTGACCAGCTGAGGTAGGCGCTGAGCCATTCATAAATCTTTTTTTTCTTTCTTGAAGAAATTTAGTTTTTCTTCTGGTTACTTTCCAGTTTCTAGGCTTCTTTTAATGGTGTTCAAATCTACCATTTCTATTACAAGAAATGTTAATTCCTGAATGCACTGAATATAAAGAAGCACTCGTTTAATGTACTTTGGTGTGGAGGTTTGAATGTGCAGAGCATTATAAATTTGCTTATCAGGTGTGAGTCATGATTTCCTTTAGCTTTGAATGAAACCTTTTTCATGGAGGGATTAATGAAATGAAGCTCTCGTTATGCTCTGCAGTGGAGTCGGGTAGATCAGTGAACTCTGGGAGGGACCATTTGGAGAATGATGAAATCAGAACGGTTGTTATGGGAACCATGCTATTGCAAATGTCAGTGAAAATGTTTTTGACCTTGACTGATGAAATCTTGCACTTCCACAGTCTGATTATACATATGTGTGAACAGAGGAGGGCTGGTTCACGGACAATTAACATGCTGGTATTCATGCTGTTTTGTGATGGTAGCGTATTTCAGTGACACTCTCTTTTAACTGTTATTTCTCTTTTTAGTCATGGTCTCACTTTAGTTTAAAGATATCCGAGCATCACTCTCAATTCAGGTCTCATTTGGTTCCATGACTTCAAGGACCGCAGTTGAATATCTTCATGGCCACTTAACAAGGACCAGGGAAGCCTTTCCCACACGACTGTCTCAGAGCGACTGAAATGTTTCATTCAGACAAGAATCTGCTGTTCGCAGAAGAAGAGCAGAATTTAATGAAGTCTCAGGGTGTCCGTGAACTTTCTTCTTTCGTCTTTCTCCGTGTTCAGTAGAAAATATTTATAGGCTCTGGCAGAACCTTTGCTTCCCGGTGCTTGACTAAAATATCTTGGTTACCTTTAAGCCTGCCCCTCAGGTTCAGCTCACATAAAATAATACTTTGCCCTTGTATGACCCGGCCACATCCTTGGTCTTAATTCATAAATAGAGCTAAAGTCTTGACACATTTTGCATCATTGTTTGATTTTGAAGAAAGATTTTGATGTATAAAATATTAATGCGCTTGGAGGGCAATGTAATTGTCAGGGTCGGGAGGGTTACTTTGAAATTTTAATCTGATACAATTACTAATTACCTGTTAAAAAGGGAGTCAGTAACCTAATCCAAGTATCACATTATTAAAGTAACATAACTTGATTACTTTCTGTTACTTTCGGATTATCTCAACATCAAATATGTAAATAAAAACCATAAAAAAAGAAATGAAGTGTATTGTATAAGACAACAGAACAATGTGACCTTTGAAAAGAAAATGGAAACATAAAAGATTGTTAACATCAATAACTGTCGTCTGCTCAGTGTATTTTTAAAGAAAAATAAAAATTATAATACAGCTAAATAATTCAATAAATCTAACTGTAATCTGACGCCTTTTTTGGTATCCTGATTATGTAACTCAGTCACATATAATCAGTTACTCCCCAAGCCTGGTTATTGTATAGGCAGTAAAGAAAATCCTGTGATACTGGGTGACTTATGTTTGAAGGATTTTATTGTTTCTTATATTTTCTACAAGTAAACTATGATCGAAGGACTTTAAATCTCTCCAACAGTTGGTTTTAGTTGAGCATTATGTTGCTAGTAGCAACCATGACATGCACCCATGGTGCAACTGTCTTATTAACAACAGCTCACATATTGTACAACCTCAAGTAAAAACAGAGTCTTAATTAGACACAGGTCCCCTTTACTAGCCTGGTGTGGCTACAAATAAACACAGGTCTTAATTAGATGTCTCATCTGGATTTTATAGAAATTCTTTGGATGATGTCTGACATTTATGTGAAGGTAGGAAACTTTGGAAAAGGCAGTTTATTGGTTATTTGTAGCACAGCTAGTCCTGTGCAACATATACACCCACTGTAAAAAAAAAAAAAAAAAACTATTACATCGTTTCAAACTGTTCCCAGCACTCACCAAGAAGGTGGATGCCAACTCCAAAAAGAAGGACTGCAGGAAGGTCACACTGAGCAAAAATCAGCTCTTCTGCTCAGCATCAAGTGGAGAGGAAACAGTGGCAAAGTGAACGTATCTTCTCAACCACATCCAGAATTCACATGTACATAAAAAATGCTCCAAATCAACTTCCCCGAGTGCCTCCACCCCCTTGACAAAAACAAGTGGCTGAAGTCTGGTACGCCACTATTCAATAGCAATTATGTCATTTAATTAGAATCCTGTTATATGCTCTCAGCTGCTATGCACTCATCATCTCGTATGTGCTTGTTATTCTCGTTCCCCCTCTAGCAACAAAGGCCACCTACAAGCTGGAGAAGGTGCTAATGAACGACCGTGCTCTCGGTGATGTGAAAAAGCTGAGTCCTCTCTACCAAACGTCTGCCTTTGTGGGGTTCTGCAGTCTCATTCTGCAGTTTGCACCAAAAATACAGCCTTCTCATACTTAATGGTGCTCGGCAGGTCAATTGTATAGTAACCATGTTGTCAATATAGTGTAGTTACAGGGCTCCAGAGTGCTACCAGTTGACTCGCCTATTAAACAAGTGAAAACCTGGCCAGTGACAATTAAAACATTTTATTTGTGAATATTTTGTGATATTTTTACATATGACTTGTGTATGTGCTGCTTTTTTATTTTCTAGTGCTCGTATCTACCAGACACTGGTACCACTAATTTTAAACTTTAGCTTCTAGCCCTTATTTTGTAGGAATCCCATACAAATTATTCTCATTTCAGCCTTTACCTGGCCACATTGCATTTCAGTGAATGTGCGTACCCAAGCGAGGACTGCAGCAGGAGAACTGCAGTTCCAAATTAAATTTCCCAAGGCCAAGAGACACAATATGTCCTCCATGTTGTGTCCGTGGTGAAGACCAAATATGCTACTGGTAAGTTAATTCTAAGTTGTCTGATGCAAGTTTTCATCTCCATACTAATATATGCATGATTCCAAACACATTTGCCAAGGCAAGGTGTAGGACTACATTTGCCAGCGTGACAAAATTATAAATGAGCAGTTAACACAAAATTTCTCTTTCAGTAGTTGGTTTACCTTTGTAACAGTTTGTCAAGAGCCATATGCACCAAATTAATGACTCAAACTGTGCACTATGTTATGGGCTGTCTCCTGTGTTTTACTATATGTCGCTGAGCATATGGACCTCCTCTTTAATGAGGTCATTCATGGTCCTGCTCCCTTTGTGGCTTAGCTGAAAGAAGTGGCTGTTCCTGGATTCCTGTCCTCACACTATGAGCAAGTTGAGGAGGCATATACAATTGCTAGCCATGTGTTTAGATACAGCTGTCCAGGAGGGGTGGGAACGGCTCCAACACATGGAGACCCAACACCTGTCTAACCCCACAGTCCCTTTCTTAATCAGCTGCTTTCTGCCAACGGTGTAAGTCACCATCTTCCCCGTATGATTGTCGTCCTTACTCAAGATTTTTTTTATGTGGATAATATATATTACTTTATATTACTCAAACTCTGCCCCTTGTGTATTTCACAAAGTGAGCAACACTCCACTAATGCATAATTTTCTTTTGATACACCCAGGGTGGTGTGTAATGATGGTCATGATGATGTAACGGTGGTCATGACTGCTAATCTCTCTATTCTTTGTCCCTGTCTTGTTTTCTTTTTACATGGTAGTCCAGATTTGACACCAGTGTTTCCCCCTTGTGCAGTTGTCATTGTCTTCCTCCAGTGTATCTCCTGCCTTTGTGTTCCTGTGACTGAGCTCCTGCCTCAGCCCACCCCTGCACTAGAGCCCCACCAGGCCCCCTTTTCATAAAGTAAGTCGTGACACACATACAAATATGTCATGTTGTCTCAAAGACTGATTGACAGCTGTCCAATACTTGTTTATCTTGTCTTGTATCTTGTTGTCATTGCTGCTGCTGGTCACTGAGAGTTACCAAACAAAATTACACATAAAGTGTCCTATGTCTTATTAAAAGTGTATTGAAAGGATGAATAATTGTGTACATATCTGATATCCAGAACATAACAATATATATAGTACCAGTTCTTTTGAGTGGTATGTACATAGTAGTAATTTAAAGGGAGGTTTAAAGTCTTTGTATTCCCCATCTTCATCAGAGTACTCCTGAAGAATACGGAGCACAACACAATCCTATATTGTAACAGTAAAGTTATTTGAACATTTTCTATAACGAATGTAGTCATGTGTTATTCACATCAATTCACACCAATTCACACCCAATAATAACAAACTCTGTTTGTAGAAGAACAGGTTACAAATGCTTCCAGCATTCACACCCAAGCAAATATTAAATATAAGTATTCAAACTCATGAGAAGCCTGATTTCTAGCCTCATAATCTTTCTTGATAACTCCCAAAATGAGTCTTTTATAATTTTATTTGGAACAAATCCATATCTACATTCTTATTAAACAGCCCATTTCCATTGGAGTACAACAGCAGCTGCACTTGCAAGCTGCTGAAAAAACAACAACAAGAGATCATGAAAAAGAAAAATATTTAAAGAAAGGCGCATGTGTGGGGATGCTGAGCAAACAACTCTACATGACAAGACAGCCCTTCTCTCCTGGGACCTGCAGTCTCTGAACCGTAGCCTTCAATGAAAAACACGGCTGCTAAGTCGTCATCATGGAGATGTGTTATGTCAAGGTTGAATAATGTTATACTGCAGTGTGTCGAGCAGATTGTACAGTTTCTATGGAGCTCGAGTGGCCTCAGCCCCTCTGGCTGAATGCCCAGCCGGCTCTTTAATGCCATTTGGAGTCAGGTTAAGCAGTCTGAAGGAGCTGCTCATCTTCACCATCAGCCAATGGGGCACATCAGGAGCGCTGTGTAATTCTGGAAAATGAGTGGAGTAGGCTAGTCTATACTTTCACTGACCTCTAATACTTGATGCAGCCGGCTGTACTCACTCTGAGGCGGGTAAATCTGATAAGCGTAAAGCTATATGGTGTAGATTTAATAAACCTCTGTGGGTATTCAAGTGTAGTTGATGTCATATGAGTCATTGCTGTCACTGTGTGAAAAAGGTGAGGAAAGTCAGCAATTTATCTTTGAAGAACTGCAGTAATAAAACTTGGATTATGGTTACATCATGTGGTAAACAGTGTGTCTTAGTACTCCATTCAGAAGTGGTATTCAGAGTGCTGTGTGTCCATGTGTTGTTTTATAAAACAGACTTAGACTTTTTATAACCAATTTGTGTTCAAATTTTGAACAAATAAGCCTCAACAAATGCATCAATACCACACACATTGTTTGTTACCAACAATACTGAAGGTTTCAATGTTGCGTTGTGTTAAATTAGCTTCAATTAAACCTACTACAGGGAGTTTTTAACTGGTTATAAAACAGTCTATCAATTTAACACTGATGCCTCTTTATGACCCACATAAGCACACAAGACCATCAGTGGGAAGATTGGCTATTTCCATATAGTTATTCTTAATGCCTGCCATCAGATCTGATGCATTCAGATCTTATCATATGATATATAAACAGACTGTACTTTTGAAAAGGGATTAGTCCTATTGGTTATTCTTGTCAAACTGAATACAAATCTTCTAAGACTTTCCAAGAAGATCCAATAAAAAAATAGATTTCCAATAAATCCTACAAGAACCAAACAATTTTTTCTTATAAAAGGCAAAAAGGATTATTAGAAATTTATGAGAACAAGAAGGGACTTTATTGGTACAAATAAAAAAAAAACTGATTTCCAATAAGGCTGTGAAAATCCTAAAAGAACAAAAACTTCTTCTTATAGAATATATGATATTTAGAAATTCATGGGAATCCAAAGATGAAAATCCTGTAGGACTTTTTGACTAGGGTAATCTTTGACACTACAGTGACCTCACATAGAGGCTGTCATGCAAGGTGCCAGCTGCATTAGTGATGTGTAAATGTTATATAAATGCAGTGGAGTCAAAACTACAATATAGTAAGAAAATAGTAATGTAAAGTACAAGTCTGTAAGCTTGTAAGCAAAGTGACTGAATGCATCTTGTTTAGGACTTAACCTATTGTATCTGTTTCCCGTCAGTAATGTTTATTTTATTTATTATTATCTTATTCTCATCCGGCTTCACTTAGACAAAATAAAAAATACAAAATACGGGGGGACAACTATTTCTCTTATATAATTATTTCCAATAAATTGCACCAGAATCAGAATCGGCAATTTGCCATGGTAAATTGGTGCATTACAGTAAACATAGAGAATATAAATAAAGAGACTAATAGAAATAGATAAAAGAGACAATATATATAAATATAAAAAGAGGGACAATATATACAAATATAAAGACAATATATTTACAATATAACCGTTATTTAAATAAATGAATGAAGCAGCTGTACAGTTTGCAGGAATGTGCAAAATATGCATTTGAGCAGTGTGACATACTGTATAATGATATTGCAAAGTGCAGGATAAAAAGTGCATAAGACAAGATAAGATTTATTGATCCTACGCTGGGGAAATTCACTTGCTACAGCAACTAAGAAAATACACATTACATAAAAGACAGAATATAAAAAACACAAGATATGATAAAAAATAGAACAGAGAGTTGTATGTACACTATATACAGCTTCTATACAGATGTGACTGATATTGCACAGGTTACAGCAGGAGGTAGTGGTATGGTGTAAAAATAAATAATTGCACGGAACAAAACTATATATATACAGCGGTAACTTAGCAGAAAATATAATCTATATATATATATGAATGTGTATGTGAACTGTACAGTACTAATAGTGCAAGTAGTGTATTAAACGGTCCAAAAAGTGACCGTGATTGTGTGTTAATACCATTTGTTTGAGTCCAGTCACTTATTTTTGACTGGACTCAGCCACAACCATAAAGATACACAACCATTAAAATACACAACCATTAAGATACACAACCATTAAAATACACAACCATTAAAATATACAACCATTAAAATACACAACCATTAAGATACACAACCATTAAAATACACAACCATTAAAATACACAACCATTAAAATATACAACCATTAAAATACACAACCATTAAGACACACAACCATTCAAATATACAACCATTAAAATACACAACCATAAAGATACACAACCATTAAAATATACAACCATTAACACACACAACCATTAAGACACACAACCATTAACACACACAACCATTAACACACACAACCATTAAAATACACAACCATTAACACACACAACCATTAAGACACACAACCATTGAGACACACAACCATTAAAATACACAACCATTAAAATACACAACCATTAACACACACAACCATTAAGACACACAACCATTGAGACACACAACCATTGAGACACACAACCATTAACACACACAACCATTAACACACACAACCATTGAGATATACAACCATTAAGACACACAACCATTGAGACACACAACCATTAACCTTCAGCTCTGGTTGCAGCACACTGGCGCGCTTTCGGACTACAAACTCCCTCAGTGTTATGTGACGTCGAACGCTATTGGTTCACGCAGTGACCCAAACAGCCAATCAGAGCGAGCCTTCTAAACATGCAGAAGAAACTGAAGTTGTTGTCCTATTTCCTCGACCGGTAATGTCTGAGGACGGTGAGTGAGTTACGTTGAATTACTTTTATTTATTTTACACGAAATTCTACTTTTCGGCGGCGCAGTTTGCTCACCGATGTGTTAATGTACGGAGGATTTCGACGGGGGGAGACAGCTAATGTTAACTTTTAGTCTGTCGCCGCCATTATACCACCGAAGAAGCATATCCCGCCCTCCTTCTTCGGTCTTTTCTTCTTCTTCTCCTTGTGCTAGAAAGTTAGCTCCACTGGTCCAAGTGGTAAAAGCGGGTTTAGTCGCTAGCTGAACTGAGTTTGATGCCCGCTGTCGACGGATGATCTGGCGGTTGTTTTATTAGCTCCTTGGGCTTGCTAAGAAGCTAGCTGGAACACGCCGGTGGCACGTTAGCCATGTTGCTAGAAAGATGGCCATCGTTGTGTGTTAGCAGCGCCGTCCTGGTCGGAGATAACGTCAATACTGTCGGCTAACTTAGCTGCTGTCTGCCTGCTGCGGCGGGTCAGACCTCCAGCAGCACGATCAAAAGGCAGAGCTAACGTGAAGCTAACGTGAAGCTAACGTGAAGCTAACGACAGTGCCTGGATTTTTGTAGTATTTAGGATTATTTGTGTCGTTGTGAGTCAGTATTGTTTCTGCACTCTGGCTAGGGTTGAGGTCATCCTCTGCAGTGCATGTCATGGAATAACACTCATTGGCGTTTAAGAGGCATTTTAACTCCCATCTGGCTCACTCATAATTTAAAAAAAAAAAAAAAGGAAATGACAGCTGGGTGCTTGCAGGTAAAAGCAGATCGCCTCATGTCTGATCGTTTAACATTACAGCCGGACTGAGGTGTTGCAGTCTTGCGCAAACCCCAGAGGTTTATATCTGAGCATCTGTACCAGGACAGCTGCTGATAGTGCAGTAATGTGTGTTCCTATCATCCTATCATGGGGCATTATTATTATGTCGTAACTGGTGTATTTAAATACGTGTGGTCATACTCTATAGTCCTATTAAAAGACCAAAACCAACAATGAGTTGATTGCTTGTGTAGCAAATTCCTGATAAAAGCTGATTACTGTGTCACGTTGTCCAAAAACTATTAAAAACACACCAGAGAGCTTTGCACTGGCATGTTACTTAATTACAATAAATGGGTTTTACTGTCGTTTTTTATTTGTTGCTCTCACATACACTGTCCTGTAAATACTCACTAAATCACCAAGTCTGCAGCTGCAAATAGTCCCGAACAGATACACCTTATATTCCTGTTAGAGTAACTTTTCTGCCCAGCTATTTTAGGAAAGAGTTTTTTTTTAAGGCAAGGTGCCTTTTTAAAAAATGAATCTATATATTTTTGCCCCATTTTCAGAGCTTTACGTCTTCCATAGACATTTTTTTTCTTTGGGCTGAGTGTCACAGACAAGCTGGGGGAGTTGGAAAGCAGTGAGAGAAAGACTAACAGCATTGTTATTTTTGTTTAAAAAAAAAATTGTGTCGCAAGCTATATCCTTATAACCTTGTCTGCTAATTAAAATGCACATCTACAAGGTGTTTCATATTAATTTGTATCTTTCAGCGACTTTCTTTGATTTGTAAGGTTCTTTATTTTCAAAGTATTTTGCCTGTGCAGATTGAGGGCTGATTGGTATCCAGTGAGTAGGAGGGATTGTTTTCTTTTGTTATAGTTACATGCAGAAGCAGCAGAAGCTAGACTGCCCTTCCAGTGGGTCCAATTACAGCACATATCTAATTGATGTAGAAACTAAACATCGACTCTGCCCATGAAATGGCAGAGAGACAGAAAGACTTGGCAAGGTCTCTACCTGAGCAGCAACCTGCATGGTCAAAATAACAATTAGCCCAGGCTCAGCGCATGGTGAGTCATCTTGGCAACCCCAGAGTTAGCCTCCTGGCACTTGTGTCCAAGCTGTTGTCTTGTTAATATATGCAGGCACGTCTTTTCATCAGGAGAGGGCAATGTTCACAACCTAACTTTAAATGTAATGCACTGATGGGTAGGCATCTGTATAAAGCTCACGTTGTGATATTACTTTCATATTCTAAGCATGCTGAGTTTTGTGAACTGTTTCACCTTTATCTAAATCAGTTTTGCATTGCTGCGTTTCTTATGAAATGATTTTGATTTCTAATCCCCTGGCAGCCATGGAGAGTTCGTCCGTGTACATGTGCTTCCCCTGCTACCAGGAGTTTAACACCCTGGAAGAAGTACTGGAGCACCAGTTGACGTGCACAGCTGAGGATGAACAGCCAGACACATCTGGAACCACCACTCTCTCGATTCCAGCTCTACAGGTTCGGGTAAATACTGTCGCAGTCAACAATTTCACCATGTTGCCTTTTTGTTTAGGTGTTTTGAGGGCAGGCTCTTCAGTTTAGCTGGAAATAGAACAGAAAAACATCAGTATTGTGATGGTGTGTCCTGACATGACCAGCAGTGTGATCGGGTAAAACCCTCTGAATCAGATCTTGAGAATGACATTGAAGTGTAACCTTAGTCATAAATTGACAATGCTCTGCTACTTATCATAGTAATAGTGACCTTGATCAGAGCACTTAATATTGAGTTATTTGTAATGATTTACTGACTCATTGCAAGGTGTTGTTGTGTATTAATATCTGATTTAGGTGTACACTGATGTCATATTTTTAATCAGCCTACTCTCATTAATATAAATGGGGTGGACAAATTAATAAAAACAAACTGCAGCCTTCAAAGTGCCCATAGAGTTGGATCAACACCTGCACTGCACTGCATTAAAACACAAGTACAGTCAGTGCAATAAGTACAAACGGCATAATCAGTCTAAGACAACTAAGAATGAGTACAGGCAATATTCACTTGAGATGCATAAACACATTGGAGATGCTAAAATAAAGTAAAAACAAAAAAATCATCAATAGCAAACACATGATTATATATTATGAGTTATAAATCATACATTTAAATAAATACTGTTCAGTAGATGTGGAGATCTTGACATTACCTATAATGTATATATTTTTTGTCCCCCTTTTTTTTGGCACTGGAACCTGTACATGTGCATACACCACACTGGAAAACCTATCTAAGACAAATATCAATGTTACCTTGCTTTGCACCAGAACATCTGTCAGACAAATAAATTGGCAGTGGCTGTGTAGTAAGGTCTGCAGATTATTCAACAGTATTTCTAAGTACATACGTAAGTGCTGCCTGGAACTGCTTTCTGTCTAGCGTAATAGCAAAATAACACATTAGCACATTGTTTGTCAGAGTAATGAGTCCCTAGTGAGGCAAACAGGTGTAAAAGGCAAACATGTGGAGGTGCTAAAAGTGGATTATATATGGATTATGGAGGTTTTTAAAAAAATCAGGCCTCATATCAGAATATGTAACAGTGCGTGATTTGAATAAGCTTGGATCATACATAGGGTATGAGTTGTTGGTTGAGCTCTGTTCTGATGTGTTGATGTAACGTTACGTTGCATACAAGATACAGAATCCTGCTTACTGGATAGGTTTTTGGTCCTATGATGCAGTACAATAGCAACATGGTTAAAAGAAGAATAAGACAGTGCTGCATTGTTTTTGGGGAATTAATTAGATAAATCAATATAGAGGAAAATGTTAGGGAATGATATGATTAAGGTTGCATGCCAGATTGAAGCCCAGGCTACCATATTTACATGGTATCCACCAAGGCGAGCTGAATCGCCAGTGTTCCTCATGGTCCAATGACAATGAACAGTTTTTGTTCAAAAGAATGAGAAAAAGAATCAAATTGAATTAATATTTTTTTGTGTTTTCCCCTTGTGCTTCTGTATGTAAATTCAGTTGTATTGTTTAGGCTCATTGTGAATTTGAGAGGCCTGTGGATTTTTGCATTTTATTCAGTATTTTTAACATTATGTGTGCTGTTCGGAATATAATATTTTGGGATGAATTTCATCAAACTGCTGAGCTCGATTAATTCTGAGTTCTACGAAGACGCTATTTGAATTGCAAAGTTTCAAAGTTGTATAATGGGGTAGGTTATTCCCTTTAACTTTGAAATATTGAGCTGACTCTTGGTGTGACTGGCACTTTTTTCTTTTGCCTTTTCCCATGACAGCTTCAGAAAGCCCCCAGGGTTAAAAGCAGTCATTGGCCCTCGTTTAGCAGTAGCGCACGGCTGTCTGAGCTTGTGCCCAGACTTCCATCCTTACAGTCTTCAACACACGTCCATAAAGCACAGTGACACTCATGACAGACAAATTGCATCCTGAGTCGCCAGCGGGAAGAAGAGCATAAGGAATACATCAGTCAGTGCCATACTTTCTCCTGATGGATCGCTCATTGGCCCTCTCTTAGATGAAACAGCTGGAGAAACACTGTAAAACCTGGATACCTTATGGCTTCCTGGCCTCCACTTTACCATAAGCCGGTTTATTGCAAGCATCCTCACTTCCTTAGTTAGATTACCATAATATATGTGTATATAATGTGACATTGCTATAAAACAATGGCTGTTTATGTCCCAAATGGATGCAAACATCTTTTTTTAAATTTTTTTATTTTTTACAAATGTTGGAATCAAGCTGGGATCAATTTTATAGAAAAGTAAAAGTTTGCCTTTACCGTAACATGGTGCATCAAATTTGGTTCACCTGCTTCTCACTAAACAAATTCACACCACCTTCCGATTTCCTTTTTGGATCAAAGTGTGACTCATCTGCAGCATCTGCAAACTTCCTTATCAACATGCTAAAAATATGCACTTCACATATGGCACCACTAGAAGCTCTCTCCAGTAGTAATTAACTTCCCAAGGTCTGCCCTATAAAACCTCATATCCTTCAATTATTTTAATTTTACAGATTGTAATACGTCAACTCCATGGGTCAAGTGTTGCTTGACCTTACATTGTCCATAGTTTACTTACAAGTATATGTGCTGCTTTTCTGGTTGATAATGCTAATAACGTCTGTTTTAAAGAAGAGCTGTTGCATAGTAAGTGACTTTTTTTTTGTAATTTCATTAACTCTAATCAACAGCAAAATGTAAGCAGTGGATACGTGCCACAACCTGTGAAATAGATGATTCTAATCATTATTCAATATTCAGCATAAATTAGCATGTCCAAGTATTTAGGAAGGTCAGTTGCTAAATAGGCAGTGCAGACAAAGCTTGTAAGACAGAGCTGGGGCCTTATCTCCACACTTATGTGTACCATTCACTGAATGTGAATGCGTGTTTCTTTTAATTTGGGGTATCGTCCTCTACTGAAGCTTCAACTCCAATTAATAATACACAGTCAAGCATAATCATTTTGGTCAGACTGAAACTGCACAGAAGCTGTTAAGTAATTTAATATTTCTTGCAGTATTAAACTAAAAACTAAAAACCTTGTGCATTTAATGACAAAGGCCAAAAGACTATTTGTTATTATTAAGTATAATTTCACTCTACTTAAAATGTATGTCTTTTGTGCATATATAAGTGGTATGGTTTGTCTTGAAGCTTCAAAAGTGAAAATTAAAGCCTCATCACTGATATGAGACATTTCTCAGTGTAGGTTAAGGAGGATGAGATGACACCGTCAGGTACTGGTTCACTTAAAAATCCTTACAAAAACGTATTTTTCTTGCTGTGTTTTCTTTGAGGTCTGTGAAAGAAAGAGACAGAAACAATTTTTTTTTCTGGCTGCATGGTCTCCCTTTTAAGTCCTGTCCAAGGTTTGTTTCTTGCAGGGTATGAAAAGCCTTGTTCACCCTGCCCACTTATCAGAAGAATTCAAGTTAAGACTAGTGGTGTTCGATATCAAGATGTTAGCCTTCAACAGCATATTTCGCGTGTGAAATCTCTAACAGCTTTTATGGATTTCAGTGCCAGTGCAGCAATAATGCTCTTTTGGAGTAGGGTCCTCTAGATCATGTCATGTAGTGGTTAGATTGTACAGATAACTTCTTCTGTCTGCATATAAGATGGTAAACATCCTCCATTGTGTAGAGCTGGAGTACAGAAGATAAAATAACATTCTTTACTTTACATTCCCAGTGAGTTCAAAACGTCTATCTTGATTTTGGACTAATCTTGACTTTCTGCTCCAATACATGCTTGAGAGATGAAGACAAAAAAGCAGTTTGTCAGAACAGGAAAAGTTATATTCTGTATCACCTTCATAAAAATCACCCTTTCTTGGCGAGAGTCCTAAATTCTAACTAACTGAAAGCAACTCGTGTCTCACCTGTGATATAATGTTTTAACACAATGTGTAATGCAAAACATTTAATTATCATTTATTATACACTAGGAATAGCAAACCACTTAAGTTTCTGTGATTATAATCAATTTGTAGAGGAGATACACTTATACAGTATTTTAAAGATGAAGGAACATAAACTCACACTTTCTGAATTTTCAAAAGCCCATATGTGTAGAATTTTATAGTGAGTAGCCAGTGAAAAATGGTGCCATTTATGTCTTCATTTACATCTGGAAAGAATGCAATCAGAATGCTATTGAATCAGCCAGACCACCTCTGGAATCGGCCTTCTGTATTTGCAAAACAGAATGATAAAACAAAAGCCCATAAATCATTACAGTATGTAAGACATGGTGAACTGTCATGATTGTGGCAGTTTCAGAAGTCTTTAACCTCGACCTTGATGTTCTGTTTTTATCATCCAAATAGATTGAGAAAGCAAATGTAAAACCCGGCGGAGTGACCCATCCAACCCTGATGGGCTTTTTTGATAGTTATCGCCCAGGCCGAGGCCTTATCTTGGCTGTCTGGAGCTCTCGGAGGAACCTTGGCTCTAAACACATGCTGCTCTAATTGACCTCAGTACCCCAACACTGAATTCTCATCCCTCATTTGCCAGGAAGAATAAAATAAAATAAAAATACTGCAGGTTGAAAAAGCTATTTGATTAGTATTGCAAGTAGTAATTTCCTTTGTACAAAGTGAAACATTGTGGATATCTCTTGATTTCTTCCCTTTTCCTCCTTTGTCTTTGCAGCAACAAGTAATAAATATATCAAAGACAGTTGCAGCCCAACAGATTGAAGTCCAAGCAGGACAAACCTTTGTGCAACCTGTTAAGAGTGCACTCAAGCACGAAGCAGACAGTGCAACACTGACATCGGACCAACCCAGAATCCTCTACCAGTGTGGGGACTGTGATGAACTTTTCAAGAGCCTGGACCTTTGGCAGCAACACCGTAAAGAAGAGACATGTCAGCAGTCTGCCCCTGAGAGAAATTCACAACCTGATTCACAACCTGACACAGAGACGATTTTAGCTCAGAGCTTGAATTCAGATTTAAATCCAGATGATTCTTGTCTCTCAACGTGTGAAACTACCCAAAATCTTAAGCCGGAGCCAGTTGAGAAACTCCTATCGGAAGAAGATGGGCAGCAACTTGCAGAGGCCTCTTCAGCTCAGAGCTCTGATCTTCCTGTTTCTGACGTAGCTGCCACGACCGCTAATCCAGAGGATTCGTCTCCCAAAAAGAGAGGGGCTAATAAAAAGCCTAAGCCTGAACCAGTGCTCCTGTGTGTGGACTGTGGCTCATGCTTTGGCCTGGTGTCTGAACTAGTGGCCCACCGCAGGACCCAACACGGCTTTGAGGAAGCTCTGCACCGCTGTTCTGTGTGCGGGGAAAGTTTTCTGAACACCACCCTATTTCTCTACCACCGCAAGCAGCACCGGCAGAAAGGGGAGGAAAAGGTCGTAGCGGTTCCCGAAGAGACACCAGAGGAAGTTTGCACTCCGAGCAATGGGACTGATGAGCAGGGACAAGATGCCACTCCCTCCACCACTAGTGTCCCCTCCAGTTTCACACTGCCCGAGTTGTTCATGTGCACCCAGTGTGGGCAGAGCTTCAGCGATGAGGGGGGGCTGGTCGCGCATCGCAAGCAGAAGCATGACCTGAAGGAGCCACTACACAGCTGCCCCCATTGTGGGGAGAGCTTCATGAACACAACCCTGTACCTGTACCATCGCCAGCAGCACCGCCTCACATCTGGGACGGAGGTGGCGGATGGAGCTGAAACTGGTGACGAGGCAGCCACCACTAACCCCCAGGATACCCCACAGAGCTCAAAGCGACTCCTTTCTTCGCCTGCCTCAGCTAGTGAATCAGGTTCACCACTTCCTAAGAGAAGCAGGCCCTCTTTCAGGATTCTGAGTGGTGCGAATGTGCTCAAAGGTTAGTGAAAATGTTTGCATTGAATCCCATTTGGGCCAAAATAAAGACATTTGTCAGTTGATGTTTTAGTCCTTAATGAAATGGTTTTTGTGTTGTCAGGAAACAAGGGTTCAGGCACCAAAGAGGAATCGGAGGGCAGTGCTGCAGCAGACTCAGACAACACCAACCATCCTCCACCTGCCAAGCTTCTGCAGGACTGGGCCCGCACACCACTACCCCACGTTTGTCCCTACTGTGGGAAAACCTTCACCCGACGCGTCTTCCTCCGCACCCATGTCTACAGCCACACCGGAGAAAAGCTGTTCACGTGCAAGGTGCCAATCAAAATTTAATAAAAACTTGTCCTTTCTTGAGTCTGAGGGATCATTTTCTTTGTAAATGTCATTAATGTCATTCAGTTGACATTGGCGAGAGGAGGTCTGAACCTCCAACCTCACTATATTTGAAAGATTCTCCAGTGTCTCTGCACAATGGAAATATATGGAAAATTATGAAATACATACAATATACAATGATATGATATACAACTTTAATTATTTATTATTGTTGTTGTTGTTTTGAAGGTGTGCACAAAGTCCTTCACTAACTCCCAGAGCCTGCTGCGCCACAGTATGAGCCACACGGGCAGCAAGCCCTACAGCTGCAATGTTTGTGGCAAAAACTTCTCCCAGGCAGCCACCCTGAAGAGACACCAACGCATCCACACATCAACACTGCCTCGGCGCAAGCGTGGACGCAAACCGGTACGCTCTCTACCATTTTCTTTTTAATTAAAATACCTTTTGCTATGGTAGATGTCTTATTTTTAAATGAAACCCATTAGTATTTTCTAAAAAATAATAATATTTTTGGTAAATAGCTTGCTGTGAAATCTTTTTTTATTGAGCTTAACTGTTGTTTCACTCAATTCAGGTGTGTACTCTGGACAATGAGGGAGCTGCTCATCTCTTTGCTTGCCCTCACTGCCCCTCACGGTTCAACACAGAGGATCAGCTTAACCATCACAAGTAATAACAACAACAATAACACTTAAGTAACGTTAGTTGTTCAGCATTCTTCATTTGTAGTGTAAGTGTAGGTGGACATAACTACATGTCACACACACAGACACACACACACATTACATACTGTATATATAACACTCTAACTAGCTCTATATGTCTGGATTTCTATAGACACCAGAGATTGTCAATAGTCAATCATTTCCAACCCTGTTTACCGCAAAAATACATTAGAATTAAGGTTCCAAACACAACCCAGGACAGGATTTAGATAAACCTCCTCCCGTAGTAGCTGAGCCGTGTCCGACTACTGAGCAAGACCTTAAAGCTGTGTAGCAAAGGCGCTGACTGAGATGTCTGGGTGCCCTTGAGCCTCAGCCACAATATGATTGACAGACAGAGGCCCAGTAAATTAAGATGATAATGATAACAACCCAGGATGGGGGGAGAGAGCCTGGTTCTGTCCTACCAGGTTGAGCAAGGTGGAGAGGTAAAATGTGATTGTGTGTGTGTGTGTGTGTGTGTGTGTGTGTGTGTGTGTGAGTGTGAGTGAGTGAGTGTGAGAGCGCATTTTATTTGGTTTTTGCTATAGCACATTGGACTTTTTTTCCCATCAGAAGGACAATGATCTAGATGTGGATGTGAATTTTAACCCGTCTTTAATTTCAAATCAATGTGCTGGAGAGCCCCCTAAAAAACATAATTGTTCAAATACTCAGATTACACCTGGGATTGTCTTCATATCGACTGCAACAACCAGTGGCGTTTGACCTCAGAATTTCCTGCATATACCCTGGTCCAAGATTGTCCATTGTTTTATCCTGAAGATATTCAACGATCAACACATTGGGTTAAGATTGTTTTGTTTATTCCCAAGTTCAAGAATTAACCTTCAGCTTAACAAGGATATTTAGTGTGTGGTACTAGTAGTGTACATACACCGTCACCCCTACTCACTGAACATCTGGCTGGGAAAGGAGGTGACCCTGACTGAAATTTTAATTCTCCTAGCTGCCTCAGGGTCAGATGTCCCCCAAATATTGATTTCTATTGTCTATTTAACAGGGAACAGAAACAACGTGGCCTCTGATACGGGCCTTGAGAGGTCCTTGCGTATCACCTCTAGCATCCTGCTATACTTTAAGTGACTTTCGTAGTTGAGTACTTTTGCTCTGTAATATAAAAGTAATACATACACGTGTATGTGTGCAATATTTAATGGAGCAGCAGTATGTTTCATGAACTTCAACATCATCTGTGCTTGTTCTGATTACGAGAAGCTGCGTTAAAAAACCTGTATTTTAATTTTTTCCATGCTGTGAAAACAGACTTGATGCAGCATTAGGTGAATACATCCTAACACTTCTCTCCTCCCCTAAGGCTATATCCAGCGTAACGTTATGCAATGGATAAATATAGTCTTTCATGTCCTATCTCTGACTCCTCCTAGTTTATTGCTGTTCTTTTATCTCCAGCCGCTATACACTCAGCTAATACCCCTTATTTAACCTGAAGCACTGCTAAGCACATACTTGCTGGTAATCCTCCTACGAGTCACATATAGGGTGGCAGCTTAAAACCAAAACGTGACTTTTTCGCCCCTCTTTAAGTCTTTAAACGTATACATAATTATTTAATGTAATTGTTTGTACAACTATTCTCTGTTCCTGTGAGACATCTCTGTGTCCATGTCCTCTTTTTGCAGGTTAAAACAAGTAAACGTATCATTGTCAACAATAGTTTGCTAAATAGTTAAAGCACTTGTGTGAATATGTGTGTTTTTATGTATTAAACAGACTGCTCCACACCAGCCATCCATTCCCTTGCCCCGAATGTGGAGAGGCCTTCAACCGCAGGAAAGACCTGGACCTGCACTCGCTCACTCACCAAGGTGAGAGTTCAGGGCTCAGCCTGGCATATATATCATTCACCCTCATACTTTATGGTTAGCAGGAGCCACCTGAAGCTAACCAGAAACAATATACAAGAGTCATCTGTGCTGGAGTGTTTGTCATTAAATGTATTTTATGTCCCATATCTAACATCCTTCCACTGTGTGACCATTTCCTCTCTGTCTTTGATCAGCGTTTCCATCTGTCTCTATGATAACATTCAGGAAGATTAAAGATGAGACCAAATGTGGTGAACATAGGAAGAAATCAGATTCAAGCCCCCGTGCCTGCTTGTAATGGAAATTAGATATGATGTTCTTCAGTGCAGCATGTAGTGAATTACTATTGATTAATGCAAAGTCGGCGATAAATGCCACCATCAGTTTGCCTGGGTGGCCTGTCTTGTTTATTTACAAATGTACATCCATGTTATATGTGCATTGTTCCTCCAATGCATTAGGTCAATGACTTTCCATTGATTTGCGTCCCATGTGAAACGGAGGAGGAAGGTGGAGGTAAATGAATTGGGGGGCGTTGAACGTCCACCTCATTAGTTAAGCTTGAAGAGTCAGCGTGCAGCAGGGGTCAGAGGTACGTGACTCCTCTGAGAGAGATGATTGGAGCGATTGATCCATTGATCATTCCAGGGCCATAGGCAAAGATTGTCCTTATTAAAGGTTTAATTAGAGCGTCCCAATGGGGAGCAGAGTGGATCGTCCCCACTGGGATAGACAGCACAGATGGTTAGCAGATTGCAAGATGTTGGCATGACGACCTATGGACATGCTGATGAACTCGGTGTCAGCGATTTCCCAGCCAGGTTTTCAAGAGCAACCCAGTGAGAGTGTGGGTTTCCTTTGCCAAACAGCAACTAAGGCACCAGCTGATTAGAGAGGAACTGATTAGTTTGTTAATTGATTAGCCAGCTGACAGAAAGTAAATCTGCAGCAATTTTGACAGTCGATTAATCGCTTCAATCAAGATTCAAACAAAAACACCAAATAATTGCTGGTTCTGGGTTCTCAGTTGTGAGGATTTGCATCTTTTCTTTGGTTATACCACTGTAAATGTAATATTTGTAGGTTTTGGACAAACAAGATGTCACACTGAACCGAAATTATGACTTTTTATTCTCACTTTTCAGAAACCAAATGATTAATCTGTTAATAACAAACCAGTTTTCATCAGTTAATAATGAAAATATCTGTGATTAATGCTTGTTTTTTAATCTGTCAATAATTAAACAGTTAAATTGATTCAGCTACAAAATGTGAAAAAATGCCCATTGCGATTTTACAGAGACCAAGGTGATTTCTGTATTCTTGTTTTGTCAAACAGTCCAAAAACCAAAAAATATTGCATTTACTATATTGTAAAATAGAGAAAAGCAGCAAATTGTTGTCATTTTTCATTACTTTAACAGACTAATCCATTAACTAACCAACAGGCCTTTTTTTTTCCACAGCAAACATTTTGTTATTGTAGGGGAAGCAGAGGTGTTACTAATAACATGAAAGATGCCTCTGTGCTATTTAAGTCATGACAGTGTGACAATGAGCCAAACATGCACAATACCTAGACCCTGAAACTAAAGCAGTTAAATGGAATTCATCCATTATAAATGTTTTATTTACACCTGTTTTCCTGCTGTGACTTGTAAAAATGTCTTAATTGGAAAAGGCGTATTGTTTAATCACTCATTACAACACAGTGTATATTTTAGCATACATTTGTTGGATTAAACTCTCCATTTGTGTTCTAAGCAACCAGTGCAGGAGGTACTTTTTTCTCGACGCTGAAAAACTGTCAGATTCTGAATGTTTGGGCACTGTTTCCCATCACCTGTTACTGCACAATTGTTGGCACAACAACTTGCAATCAACAAGCTCAAAACAGCAATCAAATAATTAGCATGGTGCGGGAGCTATCTTGTAGTACGAATACAGACTATGACCACCTGTCTAACACTGTTCCCTTGCAGACAAGCAGCCAGCGACATGTCTCCACTGTTCATCCCAGTTTGTGAACCAGTCGGTGCTGGAAATCCACATGCAGCGTTGCCCTACCACAGAGGAGGAGAAGAATGCTGGTCGTGGACGGGGTCAGGGCCGGGGCCGATGCACCGGACAGGTTGGGAGCTTAGAATATCATAAATGATTATTCTCTTTATTTCTAGCACTATTTACTTTTCCAAGATCCAAGATGTTTTTAACAAGGAAAGAAGAAATGTGAAATGTGGGGCTAGCAAAAGCAAGCGACATCTAACAAAGGTCCCCAGTTGTGATCAACATGTTGTTACGTCTCAGTTAGACCGTGAAGACACTGACCTTTTCTATTTATATAACCCCCCCTCCCCTGTCTGTTCTCTCCTTTCCTTTCCTTGCTTTGTCCCTTCTCCCTTTATTCCTCCCTCAGATTGAATGTGACCTATGTGGCCACCGTTGCATGACCCAGGAGGGCCTCGACCTCCATCGGTTATCCCACACGGGCCAGACACCTCTCAAATGCCCGGTGAGGCCTTGCCGCCGCCGATTTACCTCCAACAGTGCCCTGGAGGACCACGTCCTGGCACATTTCCAAGGAACGCTCAGCAAGTCCAAAAACCGACCACGCTTCCGCTGTCAGATTTGCCACAAGGAATTTGCCTACAATTCCACCTTCAATGTTCACATGAGGACACATACTGATGAGAGGCCCTTTGAGGTAAGAGAGGTGGTGTGTGTGTTTGCATAAAAAGGGAATTTCTCACAGCATTACAAATACATTGTCCTTTTTATACAAGGCTTTCAAACCCTTTAACACCTGTATTTCAAATCGAAATCCAGCACTCCCTCACCCCCCATGGTCACACCCGTTCATAGCTGTGGCCATCTCTCCAGTTCTGGACCATGGCCATTTGTGCAGTGTGTGTCCTGCGGGTGTTTCCTTCCTCCCTGTGTACCTGTGATTAATGGCAGGGCTGAGTTAGGGCCTGTCAGCTCCCCTCTGTGCCTGTTACTATTCTGGGACTCTCTCCCTCTCTCTGCTGCTCTGGTGACGAGGCAGGACATCAACTATGGACCCACCCAAGCCCATCACAGCACGTCAGACTGTAGAAATTGATTTAATGTTTGTGGCTTTGCTTTGAGCTATATCTATCAGGCGTGCTAAGGATTGAGGTTCAAGGAGCATTGGTCCTCAAACACACAGGCAGTTACGGGGATGAATTTTAATTTAAATCAAATATACTGTGCGTTCCTGAAGGAACATCTATATTTGCTGAGTATATAAAGAGCAAACTCAACAGGAAAGGTTTATTTGAGTATATCTCTCTGAGATACTGAAACTGCAAAACTGACAACAGGGATTGCAGTTTCAATCTCGGCGTCCCCCAGTAGGAATCAAAGCAATGCACAACAGAATTATTCTTTTGTAGTGCATCAAGTTTAATCAAGAGTCTAGTTGTAGTTCATTGTCTGCACAGAGAGCGAAAGGTACAACTTCGGAATTGTTAACGTGATTACTTTATTTAGAAATAGTTTTTTTAGGTCTCAGCTCACTGTCACTAGCGCTTCTTTCCCATGTCCACTATTGCTGATCATGCTAATCCCTCGCAATGATTGATTAGTTGATCGACTGAATATTAATTGGCAAATATTCTGGTGATCAATCATGTCAAGTCACTTTATCAAGCAAATATGCTAAATATTATCTGGCTCCATCTTCTTAAATGTAAATATTTGTTGGTGTTCTTAGTCTTATATCATAGTAAAACTGTGTAACACAGTTGTGTTGTTTTTATTGTATCTGTCTTTCCCACTCTGTCTTCCCCCATACCCTGTTCTCTCTACTCTTCCTCTACCGCAGCTAGAAATGCTGCATCTGCAGAAAAATATAAAGAGAGGTCTCAGAAAATATTAATTGCAGTTGAGCTTGTGCACTGGCACTGTTGTGAACACTGTATTTTCTTGCCACTGTCGTACCTTTTTATTTATATTTTGTCCACTTTCCAATTGTCCACTTCCCCATTCTCCATCCTTCCACCAGTGCACCACATGTGGCAAGCGCTTCCGTCAGCTGCCCCATCTGCAGGACCATGAGCGCATCCACAGCGGCTTGCGGCCTTTCTGCTGCTGGATTTGCGGCAAGAGCTTCAGCGTGGCCGCCCGGCTCACCGAGCATGCCCGCACCCACAGTGGGGAGAAGCCGTACCCCTGTTCCCACTGCCCTGCTGCCTTCCGGTCTCGCTCCAACCTGGATAAACACATCCGCTTACACGGAGACCTGCCTCAGGAGACCGCTGACGAAGCAGCACATGCAGCTGAGGCTGCCCATGTCCAGAAGGTGCTGGAGGGGGCCAAGGTGTTGTCTTCTCTGGCCAACACAGGGGATGCTGATTCAGGCTCAGTGCAAACCATCTATGTACTGCAGGGGGGCGAAGGAGGCACTGAGACGGTCATGATCCCGTCTGATCAGCTCAGTGGCATTGAGGGTGCCTCACAGGTCGTCATCCTGCCCTCCTCCGTTCTGGGAACTCAGGGCATTACAGTTCCTACCATCACCATGGATGGAAATGAAATCACCATGGTCGAGACAAGCCATTCGCCACAGCATGCCATTGAGTTCATTGTGGAAGAGACTGTATGAAGGCAGAAAAGCTATTGTATAAAGGACACCGCAGCAGAGAAAGACTGAGTGGTTAGTTGAGAATAAAGACAACGGAGTGAAACGTTTGATGATTGAAGGATTGCCAGTTATATTTATATAGTTTGATAGGTTTCTAAGCCAGTTTCAATAAAAGGCCCATCCTGTGTAGTGTTAAAATTTTACACCTTTTCTTGAGCAGAAAATGAGTGTTGACAGTGTAAAAATGATCAATTATAGGTTGACAGACAGAATGTACAGTACCTCAACTTAGTCTTTCAAACTGATTGAAAAATAGGTTGTAAAATTGGCCCTCGATTGTATACAGGTGTTTATTTACAGCCCCTATTTATTAGGGGAAGACCAAGTGGTGGCCCATTAAATGTCTTCTGCTTTCTTTATAATAAAACGCTTCAGCTTTCACACTTGTGAGCGTCCATCATTTTATAAGGTGGATGACAAGAGGGCATTGCCACCATCCCATCAGATGGGATGGACTTTATAGGTCCTGCTGTAAATTGCCATTTTTGACAAACAATATGAGAAATATATAGACCCAGTACAGCCCTTTCGAACCGCTCTGTTTGTCTCTTTTACGCACACTAATGTTAGCGGAAGGCAAAATGAAGTCGAATTGTGTATGTATAGATCAACCCTAATGTTCCAATAATTTGTAGGACATTGTTATTGATTGGTTTTGTGCCGTAATTAAATACAATAATTACAGGGATACGGCGAGATTTATGATGATTTAGCTGAAGTACAGCATTATGCAGTGGCAAGTAGTGCAATGAAATTATCCAGCACTTGCTGTATAGTTATCAAAAATAATGATCCTATTTGTGTCTGAATGGGAAGAGGCATAATATGATATAAGTTTTGCCAGCGCTGCAGTAGCCCATTATAGGCTTCTAAAGCTCAGTTTATGGCTGTCTCCCACCCAGTGATTGCTGACAGGGGGGTTTGAAACCACACACACGCAGAGGCACTCAGTCTTAGTTTGTTTTCATGTCATGGAGGGAGAAATGCTGATGATTGTGCGGGGAACCGAAATGGGGAAATGGCAGCATTTCTGCAGAGTGAGAAGCATATCAGGAAATAGAGGGCTCCTGAGGTGCAAAAAAGAAGCCAGTGCCAAGAATTTAGCTGCTCTTCATTGCTTTTTTGAGAGAGTCAACAGGCAACCAGTCGATAAATACATGTTTTTTTTTCCTTCCTAGCAAATTTTGAGAGCTGATATTCTGGTGAAGTGCCGTTTATCATACCTGCTGCCTAACATTGACACTGAAAACACACACAACAAACACACAGACGTGTAATGAAATTGCTGGAGGTGAAATCATGAGACTTGTATGCTCCAGGGAAGCAGTCTGACTGCAGTATAAAGTTTATTTGCTGTACAGCAGATGGTATATTGTCTGTGTTCATTCCTTAACCCACATTTAAGGTTGTGGTTTTTTATTTTTTTTGTTCAAGGTTGTCGACGAGCACAGATGAACAAAACCTGATTTGTTTTTTTCCCACAGCGACACAGTCTTGAAATCCAGATTTAAATATAATTTCAATTCTACCGAGTCCATAACTTAATTTATGGCTTTAAGTGTACATGACGCCAGGATGTTAGCTGACAGATCTGATCTGGTTTAACTGACAGTGTGTCTATAAATGGCACCAAACTGTACATTTTGACACAGAGATTGGCTGCGGTCAAACAAGGATACATGAATTCAGCTGCTTTCATGTTTCATTTTGATAATGACAATGAAAATGGAGCATTTAAAATAACTGTCAGTATATAAATACAGCTGGCGCTTGATGTCTAGAGATGAATGAAACAGAGTGGATGCAGAAAGATGTAACTGGCTGGTCATTTTTCAAAAAGTAAATTGAATCGTGAAAATGTGACCTCAGACCATTATGTGTGAGTCCAATGTTACACTGAAACAAAATGACTTTACAGTAATGACCTTGGGAGCTGTTATTTAAAAAAACTACTTAATGACACCTTTGATAAAGAACAAAAAAAAACCTTTAGTTTACTGAAAAGAAAATTTGTTTCACTGAAAACCGACTGAATAGCTTTTATATTTTGTACCTCTGATGAAAACACAAACACACCAATATACAGTGAATGATTTATAAACATTGCATGTGCATAGCTGAGAGGAATATAAACCACTGAATATGCTCATATGTGTGATGGTTTTTGCAATTATGTATGTAAATTATTCATGACATTGATAGGCCGTGGAAGCAGGGAGAGAGAAGTAAGGTTTTTTTTTTTTTTATCTTTTCATACACCCAAATGAAATGAAAGACAATTATGGAGATACATGGACCTAAAATAACCATCAGATTTAGGAATGTCCTTGTTGCCAATGAAAAAAAAAAACTGCTATGCACATGCAGTGGCTGCTCTCACCCTGGGCATCCCTTTGATTCTCACCTCTTTTTAAATCATAAACACTAAAAATACCCAAGTGACCCTCAGGAGGGAATGTGCATATTCAGCTCTCGCAGCAGTAAACTCGCTGACATCACAGTGTCCCGTGCAGGTGGAGGACACCACCAGCTCTGTTTTTAGCTTACACCTCCAGGTAAGAATAGTACTGGAGCAACTACACACTTACAAGTTGCTTTAAAAACCTTTCTGTCCAGACATTTAGACGTTTCAACCTCTTATATGCATTAAGTGAGCTTACCTTTAGCAAGAATTACTATATTAATCAACTTCTTTTCGCTACTTCAACCAATTCTCCATTAGTTTTAGCATTTTTAACTATACATCCATTACTTTTAGCTAGCATTAGCTATTTCCAGTGAATTAATTACTTTGTGCAAATTCACCATTTAACCATCAATTTAGCTATTTTAAAAAAATATTTTCAGCATTTATCCATTACTCTTAGCTATTTTAACAGTCCATCCATTAGTGTAATGTCTTTTAGCTATTTCAACAGTTTATTCGTTTTTGTAGCTAACTATTTCAACCTCTTATGCATCTATTTATATATATTTTTACATGATGCTCTTATCCATTACATTTAGCTATTTCAACCAGTAACCATTTTACCTCTTAATTACTTATTTGAGCTATTTCAACCGTTAATCTGTTACTTTTAGCTCTTTTTATTTACCTCTTATTCAGCTATTTCAACTATTCATTTTTTGCACCCTCCCAACCTCTCAGTTACTTTTAGTTTTACTTTTATCCAAATTTGTTGAAGCAGAAGACATTTCATGGGTCTGGTCTTCCCCCTCCATTCCTCCCACTTACACCTGGCAACTGTAGAAATACCCCTGGTTGGGAATCACTGCTGTAATAATCCCTTGTCCTAAATGTTTGCTTTCCATAGCGAAAAAACAACACCAAATTATGATATAATATAATGATAATAATCATAAATGCAAGTAAAATATAAATTGGAGTGTTTTTCAGTCTGCAATATGGGGTTCTAGTACAAAGCCTGCTATATGCAATAATGATCTGTCTGAAGGATACACTACAAATGTTACAATATCCTCGAGGTATTATAGTGAATCATTGGAAATAAAAAAATATAGACCTACGGTAAACTTCTACACTGTCACTGTAAACCCATTAACAACTCAGTCCCCAAAGTATTAAAGTCATGCTTTGTTGATGGCATTTTTATTGACATCTTGGCAAGTTGGAGATGCTGGGCAAAGCTTTGTTTCCACGGTAACCTGCTGGAAAATTGTGTTTGCTGACACAGATTAGCGCTTTGGTGAAAAAGACTGAAAGTTTAATCATGGAACCATTTTCTCTAAATGATAATTGCAGTGTTACTCTTATCTTTACATCCATTTGTGGTATAATATTTTCAAGTGCTCTAAGGGGAGTCTTAATGAATTAATTGCTGTATTTATATGCTACACTAATAAACTTTTCTCTGAGTATTTCATGCAAATCAAGTCTCAGTTAGATGTGACAGAGACAACTGATTTCATCCACCCCTTGAACAAAGAACTCACCGCAACATATTTCCAAAGGGATGCAATGTAAATATCACAGCATAACTATCATGTAGCCATTAAAGGTCAATGATTTTAACGGGGAAAACACATACAGTAGTAATGCTACAGGAGAAGGGAAATATCATAAATCACATTAGGGTCGATGCACTGTACATGCTGCAAGTGCCGTCCCTGCAAGACAAATTATACAGGGAGACAGGCATGGTTTATTAAGTTATATTTATAAACTGCTGGAGATGTACATGTGGAATTTGTAATGACACTGGTCACCTCTGCTTGAGGTGTGTTATATACAGTATGTTTACTGTAACTGCTCCGTTATACTCATATTCCTTTCTCTTTTAAGCATGCAGCCCAGGAGACATTCGGCTGATTAAGATTATGCAATACCGCCTGCAACACCATGAGGTCGAAATGCACTTAACCAAGCCTATAGGCTGTATATTTAATACGTTTTTGGCTGTCTAAAAATCAAAGTATAAACACTAGTCTATTGTCTCTTCCATTAAAATGAATGTTATCTGTTACAGTAATTGCTGCTATTTGCTGTGCTCTACAAGTGACATCACAGTACATTTTCTATCTTAATTAAAAAACATTTCACTTCTCTTATGATAATCTGTCTTAAAAAAAGAAAGTCTGAGTTAGGGGGCGTGCAAAAACATGATGTAGTTCTTTGTATTTGACTAAGTGAGCACACTTGTGCAGACTTACTCAGTCGGCTACAGCTGACTTCCCAACTCTATTATCATATCGTAGTTATTAATGTATGATTGACCTATTTAAATAATGGTATACATTTATCATTCTCTATGCCTTGTGATTACATATTTATTGCTTGCACATGCTTCCTCTCCACCCTCTGTCCTTCTCTTATTTTCTTTTTCTCCTTTCTCTCTTTTTTCATCATCACTCCCCTGTTCTGTCTCTCCCTCTCTTCCCCCCTGCGACATAGCCTCTGTCTCTCTCTTTGCTGAGGTGGCTGTACCTGCTGTGACTTTGACAAAGTAGTCTCCACGCGTGTAGTGGTGTATTTCTGTGTGTGAGTGTGTGTGTGTGTGTGAGTGTGGATGCAAGGGTGCACTAGAGTGTTTGTGTGCATGCACTAGCTTCATTTTATAGTTATATATTATATATAGTAAATTTGTCTGGCTGTTGCATTTGTTTAATGTGCACAGTGAACATGCACAATGCATCTGTGTGTGTGTGTGTGTGTGTGTGTGTGTGTGTGTGTGTGTGTGTGTGTGTGTGTGTGTGTGTTTGTGTGTGTGTTTGTGTGTGTGAACATACTGCAGCATACTAGCACCTACTCCTAGTGCTTATGTCATACTATACTCGTCTGTTTTGTCCTCCATTACCCCTCACTTTTTTCATCCCTTGCTCTCTTGTTCACCTTGTTTCTCCCTGTGTGCTCCTCTTCTCTCACACCCTCCCTCCATCCTCCCTCCCTTTCGTTCCCCCCACCTCCCTCTGCTTGTCTCCTCCCTCTCTGTCCCCTCCCTCATGTTTCCTCCTTCCTCTCTCTCTCTCTCTCTCATTGATAGTGAAGCATTTGTGACTAGAATACTGAGGAGCTAATCATTATTCCACGAGCACAGCGCAGTGCTCGGGCAGAATGTCAATCCCCCCCCCCCCCTCCCATCCCTCCCTCTGTCTTCCTCTCCCTCCCCTCTTTTGCATGCTTTCCAAGCAATAGTTAACATGGAAGCCACATTTGTGTTCTACAAAGAGAAAAGTAAGGAAACACTCCACAATTCACAATTGCGAACACTGTATTCTTAACACCTGCAGCAAGGTGTTGTATGTTAGCTGAGTAAAGTATACATTTGTGCTGTGGATGGTATTTGCAGTGTGTGATACGTAGTTGTTATGTAAAAGCGCTCCACATCAATTTGTCAAGAGCAAAGTGGTGTGGGATGGAGATGAGAGAGAGACAGCTGTTGAATGCATATTTACAGAGAGGAGGGAGACAACAGAGAGAGACAGCAGACTTTGAGTGGATGCAGTAAGGCCAGTAAATCATCAGTAATATTAAGATATTATTATTAAGTTAATTCCTTATTGCATTTCTACATGTTGGATTATCAATATATTGTATAAACATAAAAAGACTGAGGTAAAATACGCAGATAGTCACTCTCACAGAGCAGATTCAGTGTCACGGAGTAGTGCTGGAAACCAAGAGAGGGGTAAATTATACCAGAGGTAAATTAGGCAGCACACACACACACACTCACTGGGACTGCGGGGCGTGTGTCAGTGTGTGTGATGGAATGGGAGAGACAGCACACGGAGACTCCCCCTGACTTCCTGAAAACTGCAGCTGTGGGTCACAGCCAGGGGTAACGCTGTGTATGCAACCCTCCCAACCCTCACACACACACACACACACACACACACACACACACACACACACACCATGTGCACAGAGCCCAATAAAGAATTAAATATTTGCAAGTTGGATGGATACAGTCATATCTAAATGTCCTACACACACACACACACAGAAAAAAATGCCATGGCCTTGGGGAACCTCTGGCGTGACATGGCTGCAGTCTAATAGGCTCAAGCATGAGTGAGTAATAGGTGTTCCAGCACTGTCCGCCCACTGGACAAAGACATCTTGAGATGCACATTATTTTATGAGATGCAAAGTGAATAGGTGAAAACATGATGAAGCATTGGGTGGGGGTGCTATTTGAGACCAGAGCAGAGGAGACAGCTCAGCATTGTCACATACTATATTTGCTTCCCTGTTTGATTAGGGGACAGCTTAGTGGATGAATCAGAGTTGATGTATCCAAAGGCTCAAATCAGAGGATATTAGTCAATAAGGGAGACACAAATAGGCTCTAGCTTTACATTACGCCACTGTGTATTCATATTATATGTGGATTGAGTAAAATATTTGGTTGGACTGGAATGATATGTATTAATTATTAATAGCCACATGGCAGATTTAGTTGTCATTTCGTTCATTTAAAATTTAACAGCAATCTTGTAACCTTACACCTCTTCTAAAACCTTTTAAAGCAGAATTTACAAATATCACTATAAGGCAACACAGTGTTGTCACTAGCAATTAAAGCGCCACCTCATGCACAGAGTGACAAAATCAATGATTCAACACACTATGGCAAGTTTAATAGCCTTAGAGGACATGAAATTCTAAGAGAGCATTGGGGCTGCAAGGTTAAGAAAAAGATCTATATTGAAAAGGCTACTTGGACCGACCAGAGCACCAGAGAGGAACAAAGGCATCATAAGGCCAACGTCCCAGTCTCGTTAGGGGGGATGAGACAGCGCAGCGTGATAGAAGTGGGATATGGGAGTTAGGCAGTGACATCATATAGTGTGAGCTGCTTCTCTGGAGACTGCTGTCTGCTTGCAGTGGGCTCATGCTGTTGTGGAGTTGTGCCTTATATGAGTTAACATTATAAATAGTGAGGAGGATGTCAGCTCCATTCAAGGGAGTCCCACGTGAAGTGTCAGGGTGCTCTGGTGAGAAGAGAGATGATTTTCAGCAATGTGTGAGTGTACATTTTGTGTACATGTGTATCCTCAGTGTTGGAAGTATTCATTTATTTACTTAAGTAAAAGTAGAAAATGTCACAGTGTAAAATGTACTCTAAGTAAAAGTGCTCTATTCAATATTTTACTGAAGTAAAAGTGCAGAAGTATTGGCAGCAAAATTTATTCACTGTGCAGAATGGGCCTTTCTAGAGCGTTGCATAAGTATTTTATATGCATTAAAGGTCTGGTGTGTAACATTTAGATGGATCTATTGGCAGAAATGGGAAATAATATTCATAGGTATGTTTTCATTAGTTTATCACCAGAATATGGGAATCTTTATGTTTTTGTTACCTTAGAATGAGCCACGGGTCGTCTTCCATGGAGTCCGCCATGTTGAACCGCTGTGTTTTTACAGTAGCCCAGAACAGACAAACCAAACAGAGTTGTGAGTTTTTTAAACGCTTCACAGGCCGTTCTCATTCCTAGGTCGTCATATACAAACATGAGTGGTATTCAGTTAGTTACATGAGTGGTAACTAACTGTCCTGTAATGTAACTATTTTTGTTGTTGGTCAAAGTGGAGATAATTTTTAATAACTTTATGCACTTTATAGTGTAAAACTGTACAACTTTGTACTAAATCTATATATATGTATTTTTTCTATAAAAAAGCATCATATTTTTTAAGCTGATAACATGTTTGGTATGAGAAATGGTAATCTACAGGGCATTCATGAAGTGCAACATCACCAGTTGGATGTTATTCTCCAACTCTCCTCTGTTATTTCCTTTTATCTCTTTATTGTCTGCTCCACATATAAAATGCCCAAAACAAACAAACTGCAAAATCTTTATCTTCTATAGTTGTCAAATAAACACTGCAACATTTCCCTCTGAAATCTAGTCCAGTTTAAATATTAAGTAGCATAAAATGGAACTACTCAGTTAAATACAAATACTGCTGAATACGACAGAATTGTACAATATTTGAGTAAATGTACTTAGTTACATTCCACCACTGTGAACAGCTACATACATGTTTGATCTACCCTCCTGCTTTGATAGGAATTATGTGTGTGTGTTTACCTCTACATCCCCCGCTTGTGTTTGTGCATATCAGTGACATTATGTCAATATGTGCCTCAGTATGTGAGCCCAGTTGTGTGTTTACATCTGATCCTGCTGTGTGCGCGTGCGTATGTGTGTGTGTGTGTGTGTCAGTGCATGATGTGTGTCATAGGGTATAAGGCAAGTTGCGTGGTGTTGTGATAGAGTTTGTCACCCTGAGCATGTAGCCATGTCAAACTCTGTCAGGGTAGTTTACCCTGGCTAGGGATGTAACACATCCCTATGATTACTCTCTCTCTCTCTCTCTCTCTCTCTCTCTCTCTCTGTTGGTGTGTGTGTGGGTCTGTTTCAGATTGTGTGTTTTCTTCATGGACAGTTTTTTTTTGCCGTTCCCCTTATTTCAAATGCTTATCTCAGAGACTGACAGAGAGACGAGAGAGGATGGGGGGGGTGCGAGTTGATATTCATCTTTGAGAAAAATACCTAGGAGGGAGAGAGAGAGAGAGAGAGAGAGAGAGAGAGAGAGAGAGAGTGTAGAGGAGTGGGTGTTGGGAAGGAGGAGGGAGGGAGGGGAGAGAGTGGGAGGGTGCAGGGAGAGAGAGAGAGAGAGAGAGAGAGAGAGAGAGAGAGAGAGGGGGAGAGCTGATTAGATTGGAGAAAGCCAAGGAGGTACGGGTATACTATTGAGCAAGGGGAGAGACAGAGAGGAGAGAGGCAGAGGGGAGGGTGACTAAGTGAATGCAGTTTGCTGCCGCGTGTCGCCGAATCACAGCGAAGTCCACAGGCAGCCAGACGGATTGGACCTGAATCAACAAATGGATACAGAAAAACTGGATGTACACTGCATATGAGGAGAAAATTAGGGAGGACGGAGAGTCTGCCTTCATATCCGTTTATCTCTGCATCAGATGCTGCTGTGAGGAACCCACGGGGAGGGAAAGGAAAATAGCGGACAACTCATTTCTCCCTAACATCCTTGGAGCTGTGAGCCAGAATAGAGTCGACTGTGGGACTCGCTGGGATTGAATATATGCTCAGTAAGTATTTGTATAGGCTGCAAATGCCAGTGTATGAGTGTGTGTATGTGTGTGTGGATTGATGCCTCCGGCTTGTGCACTGCCTCTGATGCTTTTTTCATGAAGAAAGAGAAAATAAGAGAGGAAGAAGGGAATGCAAATGCAGTTGTACTGCAATGTCTCTTCTATTGTGATATGCTTTTTGCATCACTGAACAGTGAAAACAGGCTTTTTTTTCCTTTCTAATTTAAACAACTACCCCACACTTGACTCAGTGTGTTTGTGCCTTTTCCTCCACAGTGCCGGTGTGTGTGTGTGCGAGTATGTGTGTGTGAGCTGATAATAGCAGCCCCATTGGTATTCAGCGGAGGGAGCTCCAGGATCTCGCTGCGCCTTTCCCCAGGATGGGATCACAGAGCAGGGATTGTGCTCGCCTGTGGAGAGCCCGCTGAAATGGGTGAGTGTCCGTCCTTCTCTTCCTCCTTTTTTCCTCTTTCCCTTCTTTTTCACCTTTCATTTTCTTGTTTCTTTTACCTCTCTGTCTGTCTCCTCTCCTTCAGTCTGCAGTTATGTTCAGAACATTTTTCACCACTGATGGGTTTTCGCTTCATTTCCTTGTGTCTCTCACACTCATGCTGTCCAACCCACCTCCCTACCACTCCCCCACCTGTTTCCCTCCATCCCTCCTTCCGTCCTCTTTTCATCCAGCATCCATCTCTCCTCATCCTCTTTACCCCCATCGAGACATCAACAGGCCTGTCCAGTTTGATGGATTTGGAAGAAATCTGAATGGCTCACTTCAATTTGTTGCTTCTCACCCCCCTCTCCCCCTTATTCCCTCTTTGCTTCTCTATCTCTTCCCCTCTTCGGCTGTGTCACCCCTCCCCCCTCCATCCCTCTCTTGGTGTCTTCAAGCTCCTCTCTACATTCTGTTTGAATTCAGACACACCGAAGACATTTGAATCTGACACTGGCAATGAATGGAGATGCCATGGATGTGTGTGTATGTGTGTGTGAAAGGACTGCTATTTCTGTTTCTGTGTGTCAATCATTTTTATAGCGTTTCATGTGTGTGCGTCTGACACAATGCAGAGAGGGCAGAGGTGTGTGTTCAGCCTCAGTGTGTGGGATTGGTAGAACAGAAGGTTATGAAGTAGATCAATGTGTTTAATTGCTGCAGGTATGACAGCTGTGACACGTATGAACACACACACGCACACAGTCACTCGCTTTACACTTACCTCGGTCTTTGCACTCCTTGCTGACATACCTTCTGCACACCAATTGACACCCACCTACATCTTTTCACATGTGCTACACAAAGGCATGCTAATGATGCCAACAAAGGCTGTGCACAAAGATACACACATACACACACACATGCATACACTGAGCACTCACCTAACCAGTGAGCCAACACACACACATGGTCTCATCCTAAATGGTCCTGGGAGGATATGGGTGTCACAGGAGGGTCACATCTATTCACACAGCAGTATTGATTGGAGCTGATACACTGAATGGCCTCTAATGTTTCACTTTAAAATAGACCATCACCTCACTGGACTCTGGAAAATGGAAGAAGTCACTAAACCTATTTAATGATTTCATTTTGATCTGTCAAAGAGGTGATATTGTTGCTGCGTGGCTCTGAGTTCACATCTACTTTTAACGAAATGCATGCTTTCTCTGTGCTGTTATGAATTAAGAATCCATCACTCAGCTGTGAGCTTTTTGATCAGAATTCAAAAATGACTTTTGTATATTCAACAGGTGCAAACTGTTGCATAGTAACAGAGACACGACTACCTGTTGGGTAGCAAAGATTTGACATCCTGCGGCTATTTTTAGGTTCAGGCAATTTAGGCTATTTGACAAAAGGGGGTATGAAAGACATTTTTAAAAAAGAAATTCAGACCAACATTAGTTTTGCCATCTGTCTTCTGCTTGCATACCTGTCTGTCTGACAGATGTACGAGTATGTCTTGGCACAAAGTAAAGGTACATAAATGTAACAATATCCATCATGGAGCTGAATAATTGATCAAAGTATACGTCAGTTATGACTCCCAAAAGGCACTACACTTTAATTGTGTACATAAAAAAATGTCCTTGTGTTACTCCCAAATCTAAAATTATTAAAAAACAGGGAAGATTGCTGTTTGTGGCAAACTGTTACTGTGCACAAGATCTAATTTGCTTTTTGCCTTTATGAGGATATTTTCATCAATATAATTGTATTCTTCTGTTTATTTATTTGTGGAACAATTCAATTCTGCTCGACGACTAATTTAAGAGATTCTCTTATTTTCATTTACCATAAAACTTATTAGAAAAAGTAAAAAGATTAGTAAAACTAAAAAAGCACATATTTACCCCTAACAAGCTTTGTTTACAGTATCAAAGTGTATCAGCCCACAATCCCTGTATCCTGTATTGTACTGAAAAATGAGCTGATTATTGCTTCCCTCTTATTAGTTTGAGAGCCAAAGGCCTGTCTGTCTTGACTAGGGCTGTCAGTTTTTCCAAAAATCTAGTTTGAACTAATTCAATCTGATATGTAATTTGTTTGAACCCACGTGGCTATAAAAACGATGCAGCCTTAAATACACTGCAGAATTAACTCTGTGTCGTTCATTTATGGTGCCTCAGCTGCCTCAGTTGAGTGACAAGCTAGTGTTACCATAATGCAGTTGCATTTTACAAAGTTAGCAAACAGCCCTGTCTTTTTGCATGATTTTTCCATCTATATTGAATCCAAAATGCTTCCTCCAATTACCTCTAAGAGGGTTTGGTGTCATGATTATCTATTGAGCACAGCTCTCATGTCTCTCATTTCCTTCTTATGTTAGCAGAGAGACCAACCAATAGTTTACTCAAGGCAACAGGGCATGCAGTGGATCAGACGGTGTGCAAGTGTATTTTAGGAACAACCCTGCTAGATTAAATAAATATTCTCGATGTTTCCAAATTTGAATGCTAGTTTGAATTTTGAATAAAAATGACAGCCCTAGTCAGTCAAGTATGCCTACTTAAACCTGACCACTACCATGAGCCTGGACTGCAGTCCTCCACCTGCCTCAGGTACACTCACCAGTCAGAGGTCTCTCTCTGTCCTTTAGTTGTGCTCCTGCACATGCATCTTGCCTTGGATACTGTGGAGTGTGATAGACAGCTAACTTGGAATGGAAGAAAAAGACAGGAGAAATGATTGGAAGAAAGGAGGCTAGGTGTAGATATAAAATTGGATAGAGGCAATAGAAGAGAAATGTGACGGGGGAGAGTGTTTGAAGATGAGCTTGTTGGGGGAGAGTGAAAGGATCAAATCATAGAGTGAGTGGAGAGTAGGAAGGAGCAAACAAGCAGCAAAGTCGGAGGAAGAGTGACAAGGACGGAATAGACAGCAGGACGACAGGCAGGGTGGAGTGTGACGAGGAGGAGAATGACGTACGAGATAAGGCAGAGTGACACAAATGTCACCATGCTAACCTTTCATGCACTCTCGCTCTCTCTCCTCTCTTCTTTCTTGCCTCTCTTGTTCTTCTCCTTCTAGACCTGAAGCCTTGCAGAGATGGACACCAAATGGGCAACATGGAAGCCAACACACACCCTCCAGCGACTAGCTTTCCACACCTAACCGCCGCCACCATCTCCAGCCATCAGCTTGAGCAATCCCAGCGAGGACTGAACCTGCAGAGTTGAGGTCCGACAAGCTAGACTGAGATACCAGAGGCCATCTACTGGAAGCAGAGACAGGCAGAGGGGGACAAGCCTCATAGGAGTTATCTTACAACAATCCAATCAACCTGTTGAGCATACAATTGAGCTTCTTGGACTTCATCTGAAATTAAATAGGCTGCAGTGATGCTTGAGCAATGGTATGGAGCTTTTGGACATGTCCGGATTTATCGACCGGATATCCTATCGAGATTACGACACTTTTGTGCACACCTCAGAGCCGGGCCACTTTTCCAGATTGGCTTGTGGGCAAAAGCGAGTAATTGAAAATCCCCCCTGGAGAGGATCTCTCTTCTGATTTGTTGTTGGGGAAGAGTGTGTTTTTTTTTTCTTTTAAAGGAACAATTAAAAAAACACTCACTTTGTCCGACATTTTCCCCCTCTTTCTTTTTCACCGTCTTTCTCACACATTGCGGAGAAATACATTATGAAGCAGCACCATTCTTCTTCATCCTCCCTCGGTGATGGAGAGAGAGGAGGGACAGACTGTCCAGAATAGATAACGAGCAAGGAGACTGGCACTGAGGAGAGGAGAAGAAAAAGCAGAAAATAGAGAGAAACAGGTAGAGAGAGAAAGAAGAAGACAGACAAAGTAGCAGAAAAAGCAAGAAAAGAAAAAACAGAATTAACTAGGATTGTTTGAAATCCTCTTGGAGACTTAAAGTCTTTTTCTAATTCATCTGTGCGGTGTTGGAGGCTAGTTAGCAGAATGGGCAGGGGAGGGGTCAGGATTTACACCAGGGGGGGCACTTGAGCAGGAGAGTAGGGTTATGTCCCCCCTGCACCTGCCTGGTCTGTATGTCAGTGTTTGGCAGGAAGACAGACTGAAAGATGGCCTGGTAAACAGACAGCTATACTGAATGATAGACAAGCTCTGAGGCTGGTAAGACAGACAGACAGGAAGATAGACAGACAGACAGGAAAACGGGTACACAGCCTATTCCAAGTGTCAGGCAGAGAGCCAGGCAGACATCCCTTGCCGGCACAGTAGACACAGTGCGATTCATTGTCATTCTATGCAGTGTGTGAGGAAGAAACAGAGGGAAGGAAAGAAAGAAGAGGAGCATCCCTGTCTTTGTAGCTTCTGGAGAATCTCACTTCATCTGCATCCACCTCAGTCTGTACTGTGGCAAGCCCATGCACTAAAAACAGGCTGGGAGGGTGGGGGCTGTTACTAGAAAGGAAATACAGGTTGGAGAGAGAGGGAGGGAGGGAGGCAGGCAGAGAAACAGAGGGAGAGAGCAGGTGTCGGAAATCCTCCCCTTCATCTGCTTGTCATTTACTCCTTTATGTTCTCTCGTCGTCTGGTGAGGTGATTGGTTTTCCGATGCCGGCGTTCTTCTGCTCATAGGCCCACTGCAATCCCGAGGAAAACAAGAGGTGGGCAGACAGAGGAAAGCAGAAAAAGACAGAAGAAAAGAAAAGGTGGAGCCCAATTTTGATTGACTAATTTTTCAACTCTTCCTTTTCTTATTTGTCAAGACGGGCTCTTGTTATTTTTTCGCTTTTTTTCTTAAAGTAAGAGATAGAGAGAAGAAAAACACCGGCCCAATCAATCCCTCATTCTCTTTGTACACAGAGTTGAACCTCTCCACTCATCAATTGTTGATTTTTCTTGCCTTGTCCTAAAGGGATTATTTTCTCCATCTGAGTATAAACACTGGAACCCTCCAGATTCCCTCTATTCACCTCCAATGACACAGTGTGAACCGCTCTGACTCCCCCAAGGCAACCCCCCCACCCCCCAACCCTTCGGCTGAAGTGCTAAAACCCTGTGGTCTCAGATCTCAATGCCTGTGTTGACTCACTACTACAGCATTATTATGGCACAGCGCTTCTGATAACGTCTGATTCATTCTGTAAGTAGGACTCTCTCTCTTTCTATGTGTGTATGTATGTGTTCACGTGTTCACTGCATGTCATTAGCGTGTATTCAGAAGTATGCAGAAACAAAGATGTGGTCTGTCTTTCTGCAGAGTGTTGGTTTTATGGTGTCTTCACAGCAGATTTGCTTTACTGTGCTTCCTCTGCTCCAGGCAATTTAAGCATGTGTGTGTGTATGTGTGTGTGTGTGTGTGTGCGTGTGTCTGTGTGTGTGTGTGTTTGCCAAAGACAAAGATTTTGATCTTACAGCCAAGCTTACAACAGCATCAGAGTAGTGTCAGAAAGAGGCAAAGGACCTGCCTATGTGTGTGGAAGGGGTGGTGTGTGTGCACGCCTACATATTGGTCCTGAGGTTAATTTGAACTAATTAGTGGTGAGTATTTTTGCTTCTCAGAGCAGTTTTTTGGTTCTGTGTCAGTGTACTTGCATTCATTAGGGTGAGATGGAAAGGGGATGGGGGGCTAAAACTGAAGAGGGTGAACCAGCTAATGAGAATGACTCTGATTCCCTGACTAGTTCTTTGTTGCCTCCATTTCACGTCTAATGCCCTGAGCATTACACCCCGGCTGCATATCATTTCAGCCTCCTTTTATCTCCCTATGTGTTGCCTTGGATGAAACCCTATCCCGAGACCCAGCCTCTGCAATGTCCTGCATATTACTAAGCCCATCTATCTCCGCGGACACATCCACATCTTTATACACTCCCACAGTCACCAGGCCCTGCACCGGGAGACGCTCAATCAAGATAGTCCCTTCAAACAGACCAATGAACTGTGAATAACGCCATTACACAAACTCCCAGCTCAGAGCGTTACAGAGACACAAAGATTGGGAGGGTGGAAAAAGGGAAGGAAAAAAGCCAGAGAGAGAGAGAGAGAGAATGAAAAACATTCTGGAGAACAAGAGCAGAAGGGGAATGAGAGAGGAGACGGAGAGTGTGAGACAGAAAGCAACAGAGGGGAGAACACAGAGGCGGGAGGGTGAGAAACAGAGAGGGAAAAGGGAGGGCGTGGGTCTAGAGGGGCCGCGGAGCAGGAAAAGACCTCTGCTCCATGGGAGCACTCTGATGGGCTTAGCAAGGCCCCGCTTTGTTCACACTGTTGGTCAGCCTCTCAGAATTAAGATTACTAAATAATACGATTACTGCAGCTGCACACTGATAACACGCTGCTGCCGATCCCCTTTGTCACCGTCAGAAGACCCAGAGAAGAGAGGAGGAATGGCATATGATGGCATCAAAGGCATGACAGTACTGACTACATTACACTCACAAGGGCCTGTGCTTCACAACATGGCTTCTCTGTTTGCCGCTGAGTAAAGAGTCGGTGTGACTTTTCATACTACAAGGCGCCATAAACAAAACAATACTGGGGCAAATATTGTCGACCTGGGTTTTTTTCTTCAAGTAGATGGTGTCATCATGTCCAGTCATGTGACATAAATTTTGAGTATGTTTTTGCTCCAAAAGGGACAAAAAAATAAAAAAACAAGCAAACAGGGAAACCGCTCTGTATATTATCTGATTCCACACGTGTAAACATAAACCAAGGCTCTCATGGTGGGACTTCTGCCCCTTATCTCGATGTTTTACACCGCATCCTTTGCGTGGGCTATTTGTTTCATGTTTCCACGCTTGACAGATTTGACACGGATACCTGCCAAGTTGACCTTGCAGTTTAAAGTGTAATAAAAGCTGAATTCCCAGGCTGTGTTTCACATCGATACGTGTTCTTCTGGTAGCTGATAAATGGTCTCCCACCCCTCGGGAGAGGGGAAAAACAAGCAGGCAGCAAAAACTGCTGTCCAGTGCTGCTCAGTGGAAGTAAAGTACAACCGTCTGAAACCCACTGCTCCCAGAGTAGTGAGCTAATATCAGGGTTGGACTGGGCTCAAACCCCCTCTGTTGAGATATGAAGTATCTCCACTCTCCTCTCAGCAGGAACAACCATTTGCCTGCAGAGCTAAAGATTAGCTTGGAGCAGGAAACAGAAAGACTTATTTAGCATGTGATGGTATGGTATAAAAGTAACAAATAACAAAGCAGAGCAAAGGGCACAAAACGAAATCAATGAAATATGACACACAGCACAAACATGGAGCTTAAAAAAGCCCTAAAACAATGCGAGTCGGCAACCGTTCCTTTCAGTTCCTGTTCCTGTGCAGCACATTTGTCATCTAGTGGAGGTTTCATGTACATGTCATGGAGTGTATTTGCTTCAGTGACATCGAATGAACTTTGACCCCGGGGCTCTCCCCAGCTGAGCCCCGTAGTCACAGAATAACTGTATGAGTCACTTTGTAGAACCAGTATAGCTCCAGTCAAAAAGCATCCATATTGAATCACACGTACTCTGCTCAGCGAGACCAGACATGCAGAAAGGCAATATGGAGATGATGTGCCAGATTATTAGTCGTGTGTTCGTTTCATTCGGTCTCCCCTTTTTACACGCATCTCACAGCGGCAGTACTGTGCTCGTACAGTAAATCGTTTCACTCGACTTGGTCTAAATTGTGTTTATGCACATGGTTCATAAGATAATCTTTCACGTTGGGTTTCAGATTGTCCCATTGCCCCTGTTTTTACCAGTTAGGTTCCTTTCAGATCAGTGATCCCATCATCCCTCAGGGTTACATTTTCTAATCACTGGTTTAGATTTTTTATTTGCTGGTTACAGTTTTGATTGTACTTGAGAGTATTGTTCCTTGATGATTCTCCATCTCTGTTATTGTTGAGAGAAAAAAAACAAATTTTCACATTGTTTGCATCATTAGTCATTTTACAGTTCTTTGGTGGGAGCAGCTGTTCTCTCTTCAAAGGTGGTCAGCAGCTGTTTTTTTTTTTTTAACGGTGCTGTAATGTAGAAGCTGTAATGCTTCATTCTTCTCAGAAAGGTGTGCAATTATAATGTTATAGCTGTAATAGATAATTGCTAGACAGTTGTCAGCACTGGATCCATCATTTTCTTATCAACTTGAGACTGTGATTGGCTTTTGCTATCATGTCCCGTGATGCCTCTTGCGTGGTAGTTCACCCCTGAAGTGTCTCAGACAGCCCCTGCTCCAAAGCCAGCCGGGCTAATTTGGGATATGAGATCTCTTCTAACGCTGAGCAGCACTTCAGTTTCCTCTGGCTTCAATCTTCCACCGCTTGACCACCAGCGCGAGGCACTGCAGCCTGCACTAAACCTTTGCTCCTCATTGCCTAATGGAGCACAAAAAATGGCCCTGTTTGCTTAGTCGTTTGTCCACTCCTGCTTGCTTCAGGCTAGCTGGCCTTGGGGGAAAGATTGAGTGAGTGTATGAGTGTGTGTGTCTGTGTGTGTGTGAGGAGGATGACAAGAAATGGACATTAGGACACACATGCCCTTTCCATAATGTGCTCCCGGCTGGGCTGTTTGGCTGGCCATAAAGTGAATGCCGCTAATGGCCTCTCAGTTAATGGAGTCATTAAGATTGGATTGCAAAAAGATAAAAGCAATGTGTATAATGTGTGTGAACCGGGTGGAAGTGTGATCGTTTGTATATGTGTACTGTTACTGTAACCGCCTTGTGTATTTCTAGTTATTTAGTGCTTCACCCAGGACAACACTAAAGGCAGCACTGACAGTCCCCTACATTAGCATTGGTAGAAAAGGTCAGTATTCTATCAGTGTAATTGTAATACGGTCTGAGGCTCAGGCAATCAGTCCTGACCCGGTCCTATGTCCTAATCAGTCAGCTGGCGGAGGCTCAGAAAGTCACAGCTATAATGTTTCACGGCTAGATTGCCGCTACCTTGTGTGAGTTTGTAAGTGACAAAGGCTGATAGGCTTCATTTGAGGTCATTTGAGGACCTGTACCCGAGAGAATATGGCAAGGCTGGCGAAAGGCATTCTGGGTAGTGTTGCGTGTTGTTTCATGGTGGCATGACTGCTCATTAAGTCTATGTCAATTTCTTGTTTCTTTCCAGAGGGTCTGCTTATGTCACCATGCTCATCATGTTTTAAGCTTCAGCTGAGGTCGGTCCAACTTGCCTCTTTCACTGTTTGTATTCAATGAAACGCAGCCTTTATTGCACCAAAAGGGAAAGCTAGTTTGCAGGCAGAATTAACCTTAAATCATGGGATGAAATAATTAAAACAGAACAGAAAACTCTTTTTAATTAGGCCAGACAGAGTCAATAGCTTGACTGCTACATTTTGTGGATGTTCATAATTGTTTTTCTAAACTTTGCAAAGTATAACTTTAAAAAAACAAAACAAATCAAATTTAAAATTGAGGTGTATTTCACCACACTGTTCAGAGATATTCCACGCTCACAAATCTGTGCCTGTCTCGTAGTAATAACCATATTTATCTGTCAAATGGTGTCAGTCCATGTATCAGAAGATCAGAAAATACGTTTGAGTGAAAGTGCGCACCTTTTAATCTAATCACTTACTAAGCAGGCGAAGCCCGTAGCTGGAAAATGGAGTCTCAGCAGGGGATGTCATTCTGCAATCACTGATCAAACCTGTCTGCAGACCCCTGAGGAGGCCTGAGGGGGTCATGCAGCAAAATAAAGAAAACTCTTCCATTAATTCCACTGTTATATTATTTTGAGATAGAATAGTGAGGCTATATTATAGAGGACCTGTTCTGATTTCATTACCATTAGTCAGTATTAACAGCGTCACAGTTGGAAATTATAGTGGATTTAAATTATATGTGTATATGTTTGGAGAGCATTTTTGTGAATGTGTTTGAAAACCCATATTTAGACAGTGTGACTACAGTAGAAGGACAGTGTATTTTATTACAGTATAAGCTCAAGCACTCTGCTAGCAGTCTTGTATTGTTCATCCATTCTGGTACAACTCTACATAATTGCTTTTGTGTGAAAAATTGTTCAGAAGTCATTCAGGTAACAGCATTGTCAGCCTTGGTCTAGTGAGTCTATTTTACATTTTATTGTTTCACTGCAGTTCCTGCTGAGCGGCAGTTTGCCTGACAGT